GTGTTAACAGTGAAATTTCAGGGGGGTGGGGGGGAAATTAAGAAAACAATTCTAAATGTAATTGCACAAAAGGAATAAAATACTAGGAATAAAGTTAACAAAGGATGTGAAGGACCTGTACACTGAAACCTACAGGATATTATTAAAAGAAGTTGAAGAATGCACAAAGAAATGGAAAGATACTCCATGTTCATGGATTGGAAGAATTAACATAGTTAAAATGGCCATATCACCCAAAGCAATATAGAGATTTTAGGCAATTCCCTTCAAAATCCCGGTACTGTTTTTTAAAGAAATAAAACCAAAAAAAATCAGATTTGTATGGATCCACAAAAGACCCCAAATAGCCAAAGCAATTCTAAGAAAAAAGAACAAAGTTGGCATATCACACTTCCTGAAAATATATTTCATCTATTTTATAGCTGAGTAGTATTGCATCATATCTATCTATCTATCTATCTATCTATCTATCTATCTATCTCACATCTTTATCTGTTCATCTGTCACTGAATACAGGTTACTTCAATGAATACAGATGTACATATATCTTTTGAGTTAGTGTTTTTATATTCTTTGGATAAGTATAAAAAGTGTATTTTTTAAAAATACAATTCTGAACTTGTTACTTTTCTATGTGAAACTGGCTTTTTGACAGTGTAAACCCATATTCTTTAGCATGGCATATGACACTCTTCAACAGGTGGCTGCTTCCCCCTTTCCCACCCACTCTTCTCTTCTTTTTCCCTCTTTCCCCATCATCAGTGTTAGTCATGGTGAACTGGCTTACAGGCCGAGCCACTCCTCTGCATCACTAGTCATGTGCTTAATCTTCCTCGATCTTTCAGTAGCCTCTCACCCCATTGCACACTCCCTCTATTTTGCACACCTTCTTTCCTTGATTTCCCAGACATTCCTTCTGGAACTTCCTCTTACCGTTCTGTATTTCATGCTTTTTTTTGCTGGCCACTCCTTTTACTCAGCCTTTGCATGTCGGGCTTTCTTGAGGCTCCGTCTTAGGCTCTATTTTCCCCTCACGGTTACTTTATATTTAGTTCTGCTCTAGATACCAGTGGTTTACTAAAAGAATTTTTATATTTAGCAAAAATATGTACAGATAATTTACAGTTTATTTAATATATATGTTCTCATAGCTGTTCGGTTACCATAGTGGAGAGTAGCACTCGATCAAACTATGAGGCTCCCTGTGTGCTATCTTTAGTTTGATTGAGTGCTTCTCTCCACTGTCTGTCTGGTCCCTCGTTCTGCTATTGTATAAAATGATTAGGTTTTAGCACATAACCCCCATAAAAAAGTAGATCTTTTTAGTTCATCAAGTAGCATTTGTCATGTCTATACACCTTACTAAATTAAATGGAGCAATTAGGTAGAAATTAGGGTAAGCTTTGATTTTTCATTTAAAAGAAAATGAAAATTCTTTTGGGAAATAAATTGGAATTATTAGACGAGACTCTCTATAGTGTTTATTATAGTCCAGGTTCTTGACAGGAAATAATTTTGAATAAAGTAAAAAAAAAAATATTTTTAAAGGAAAGAATTGTTGAGTGACCAAGATGTAAACTTTTCAGTGATGAAAGATATGCTGTGTGCTCATTAGAATTGCTCCATTTGATAGCTCACTCTTCCTGCTATTTCCTGACGTTCCATTTCTGGTACTCAGGAGACGCAATCTTTGATAATTGTGAAGGGTTAATGCGGGAGTCTGATGTGGCCATTACATCAGTACTGCAGAAGTGGCATATGAAGTAATGACATTGCTAGAACTAAAAAAAGCATTCGCATGGAGAAGAAAAGTTAACCCTTAATATACTTAATTTTTAAAAATGAGATTAAAATAGCATTGCAACAGGCATTTTACATAATTGAGTAATAAGTAAGGCAGCTTCATTTGCATTGCATTGTTTCTAATCCGAAGGAATAGGGATCTGTCCCTTTAATGAAACCCTGTTTACCTATCTCTTGTAGTAGGCGTGGCTTAGGAACCTGTAGGGTGAGGTATAACTTCCAATTCTGCATTCTGACCTGCCGCTCGGAAAGAATGCTCGTACTACAAACCAGGAAGTGACAAATAATGTGCTTTAAACTACATTACAACTTGTCTTTTGAAAGGAAAAGCTTCTCATAATAAAACTAGAAGATTGAGGCAGTGATTTTACATGGTTGTCATTAAATGTTTGGAACTCTGCTGGGGGATAAAGAGTTTGCGGCATACTTAGAATACAAAGCTTTCTAGTCCAGAAATTGATCTCCTGACTTTTGAGCCTTATCTGGTTACTGCTTGGTTCATGTTATTTTGTTAAAGTACTCTGCAGGCTGAACCGGGAAGACTCTCCGTGTTTTGCAGGTAGGTGGTCAGCCTTTGTTTAAAATTTAGGTTGTGTTTTAACATTACTCAGCCTTGATTGTGCTGCTGATTATTGAAATAACAATGAATCTCAGTAGAATGTATGTTTGAATGTTTGAATGTTCAGCATAGCTTTCAATCACCATATTTTTGTGACTTCTGGCCAACTTTGAAGAAAATGTCATTTTTAACAAATTAGCAAGTCTATAAGCTGGTGAGTTGTGAGTTCTATTTTGTTTTCCATTAACCTTTTATATATACACATTTTAAAAACTAATAGATTAAAAATATATTGAAATTATAAATTACCCTGCTATTAACTTCCTGATAATATTTGATAATATATTTAAATCATTTATTTATGTAGTCAAATAAAATTTAATTTTTGTTGTTAATATTTTACTTATAAGTTTTATACTTTCACTCTTAGGAAGCTGTCCGAATGTTTATCTACTTGCCTTAGTCTTTTTTGGTGTCGTTTAATATCCATTATTTCAAAAGAGTTTTTATAAGAGGTTAATATTCCACAAGTACTATATTGAAATATTGCTTGTTTCTCTTTATAATGTTAAGCATCTATTTATGACAGTAATAGTATTTCGAAGATAATGTCTTTAGAAGAGTGAGCTAATTTTTAATATGAATTAACTGCTGTTGTGAAGAAAAAAAAGAGAGAAAAAAAAAAGCTCTTCTGGAGTGGAAGTAAAAAAAAGTATGGGGTACTTTTTGGATCAAGGACAGTGGTTCCTTAACTTTCTCTACCACCAGTGATCCTTTTAATTTTTTCTATGGACACTATACTTCAAAAGACTTTTTGTCCATCAAATAAATGGTATATATTAAATAATGAAATGTTAGAACATTATTGTTTATTAGTCGTTATATTATTTTTATTATGTCTGACATAACCACTTTAGGTTAATATAATTCAGCTCCAAACAAAGAGGCCTGGCATTTTACTTAGCTTGAATAATTTTATTGTAGGTAACCATTCGAATATTTCTGACTTTTGAAATATTGAGAATATCTGAATTTTCACCAACTACTCTTGTGGAATCCTAGTAATCTGAGCCTGGCAAATTGGGAACTAATGGTCTAAAGAGCAGAAAATTTTTTTCTTAATCTCTTGAGGTTCCACGAAATGTAATGAAGGTTATCAAGTGTAATGTAACAAACAAAGATACCATAGCTTCTAGACAGAGAGAAGAAACAAGGAGAAAGGAAAACAAAACAAAACACAAAGGAAGTGGTATTTGTCATAGGGAATATCTGGGAGGAATTCAAGGCACCTGTATGTTTTGGCCCCATTAAATATATATTTATTCTTACTATTTCCCAACTTAAAATTTTTACTCCACTTAGGCTGATAAACTATTAACTGACTTCAAAACAAATATTACTTTGGTTCTTCATGTAGTAGTTCTATATTTGTATGTTGGTTTTCCTTGCCAAGAATTTCCTCGTTTCTTCATTTTCCCTCTTCATGTTCTTCTCTCAGCTCAGCTGAAGACCCTTCTCCTGTCTGAGCACCCAAACCCATGTAGTATTACTACAGTGTTAAGTACATATTGATATTACTAGAGGCCCAATGCACGAAATTTGTGCAAGCTTCCCTCTGGCACCCAGAACCCAGGCTTCCCTGTGGCCACAGGCAGGCACCTGGGACCCAGGCTTCCCTCGCTACCCTGGCTTTGTCCGGAAGAATGTCCGATCTAATTAGCATATTACACTTTTATTATTATAGAGGGTTTGTCATATTTAATTTACTTAAAGGTCTCCTGTGTTTCTTCAACTAAACTGTAAGTTGTTTGAGAGCATTTTATCCTCTTTAGTATCTAGTTGCAGGGGTACACATTTGATAACTTCTAAGTAATTATCTGTTGAATGGATGGGAGAAAGAATCTTGCCAATAGTTGCTTCAAGTATTATGCTGCCTTCTTCTCCCTTGCTTAATCATGTGGTTACCAGCAGTCATGTTTCTAGAAATGAGACCATTGGTTATCACACTGTTATTGTTTTACTCTGTAATGTGCATTTTTTTGTATTAGATGATTTTAACACTGATATGATACCTACAAAGAAAGAATGAATTGGGCTTTATTATAAATAAATCAAATAAAATATTCTTTATTTCAACCTCTTGCATTTTATGTTTTAGGAAAATATAATTTAAAGTTACTGCTATGCAAGGTTTTTAAAATGGTTGAAATATTTGGATATATTATGGGTTAAGAGCTTGGGTTCTGTTTGATGATTAGAACGCTTAATGGAGATCCAGAGTCATGGTAGACTGGTTGGATTGCAGAATTTAAACGACAAATTAGTAATTGCCAGAAACCATGAACACAGTTTTATAAAAAGAAAACTTCAAACATATTTCCATTTACAGTAGTTATTGTATTACATACTTTAAGTCGTTACTTTATTTATTCCCAGTATCGACTCTGCCAGATAAATTCTGTTAACCCATAGTTTTTATAGAAACAGAAAACTGACATCTATAAAGGTCAAAAACTACCAAAGTCATACATCTAGTAGCTGCACATCAGTCATTTTGACTTCAGAATTCATGTTGGAATCACTACATTACACTATCTTACATTTTCCGATACGCAGTGTAATTTTTCTGTCCTTTTAGAGCTTGACCAGACAGGAATTCTGGCAGCTGCTCCAGCAGAACTATGGCGCTGAGCTAGGCTTAAATGCCGAAGAGATGGAAAACTTGTCCGTGTCGATTGAGGATAATGTACAGCCAAGGTACAGCAATGTTTTCAAATGTCAAGATTTCTTAACCACTAAACAAAGCAGAATTATTTTAAACTTTACTAATTCAGAATTTCTGTTTACTTACCCTGAGTGAAATTTGCCTTCGTCCTCTGTAGTGGAATGGAGCGAGAGTTGAGGACAGTGAATAGTTTACTGAATTGGTAAACTAAGCAACTAAGCAAATACAAAACATACAAGGAAATATGTCTATGTAACTGTGTCACCTAGGATTTGCTTAAAGTGTGATTTTAGTAAACTTTTTAGATTAAGGATCTGGAGAAGTACTTACTGAAATCTCTGTGCTTACTTAACACTGATGGGTATTTTGAGGGATACAAAGATATCACAATTTTTCCTAAAGGATACCCTAGCATAGTGCTTGAGATGTAGTTGGCACTCAACAAATATAGAATGCATTAAGTAGGGAAGCTTACAGTACTATGGGGAATGCAAATAATTATAATACAAGGTTGAAAATGATAAGGGCCAAGAGGAGCAATAGATAATGTGATAAAGAAATTGAGAGTAGAGAGAGATTATTTTTGACTGATGGGAATTCATTTGTAAGAATGGACATTTTTATTAACCTGTAGAAGTAAAAATGCATTTTGTGTAATGATAATTGAGGTCGTAGCAATAAAAATAACTGAGTATAATACATTTAACTTCTAAAGCAAACATCAATGCTAAGTGAATGAAGCCAGTCACAAATGACCATCCTGTATGATTCCATTTATATGAAATAGAGACTAGAAAAATTAAATCCATAGAGACAGAAAGTAGATTGGTAGTTGCCAGGGGCTTGGAGGAAGGGAAAATGGGAGTGATGCTAATGGGTACAGGGTTTCTTTTTGGGGTGATGAAAATGCTCTAAAATTAGATAGTGGTGATGGTTGCACAACCCTGTAAACCACTGTATTGTATGTTTTAAATATGGTACATTTTATGGTAAGTGAATTACAACAATAAAACTTATTTTAAAAATTCTATAGCAGCCAAAAACGGTTTGGCTTAGTGGATAGAGCGTCGGCCTGCAGACTGAAGGGTCCCAGGTTCGATTCTGGTCAAGGGCATGTACCTTGGTTGCGGGCACATCCCCTGTGGAGAATGTGCAGGCGGTGGCTGATCGGTGTTTCTCTCTCATCAATGTTTCTAGCTCTCTATCCCTCTCCCTTCCTCTCTGTAAAAAAATCAATAAAATATATTTTAAAAATTCTATAGCAAATAAATCTTAAAATGGAAATGTTTCAAAAGCCTTGATTTTTTTACTCCAACTAGTGTTCTAGTCATGCTGATCCTATTTATAGTGTTTCAGTTAAGCATCAATATTTTACAGTGTTTTTTTTTTACATGGTTACACATGCATATTTTATTAGTTTTCTGTAACGTTAAATTTTTCTATTGTACAGCTGTCCCTGTCAAGTTTATTCGCTTCTTTCAGGTACTGGAAGTTGGGTAGAAAAGCAATTGATAACTATGCAAAGAGCCTTGGATAGTGGTAAAGAAGAGCTGGATTTTAGTCTGGACTCTGTCACCAAGTAGCTTAGCAACCTCAAGCAAATCACTTAGCTTTTCTGATCCTCAGTTTTCTCATCTGTGAAATGAGGCAGTTAAATTATATGATCTCCAAGGCCTCTTGGAGAGGCCTTGGAGAAACAACTCAAAATGTTTCTGGTGTTGGAAGAAAGAAAAATTTTTGAGCAGCTGCTTCATACGCTTTAAGGTGCAAGTTCTTGAAGTCAGCAGAAAAGCTTGTTTTCTTGGTGATTGAGTGCTTTCTAAGAAAGATGTGGCAGGATCCTCACTCCCTTTTCTGTTCCTTTTCCTATTCTTCCAGCCTCTGAAAGAAGCATATCTGTCTCAGATATTTATTTCCTTGGCTTTTCCATCTTCTTTCTCTTCATTTTCAATCTCTCCTTCACTCTCTGTTCTCCTTTTTACTATATTTTACAACTCAACTCCCCTCTTAAAATCCTGAGGTACAGACACTCAGATGGTGGGCTAGTCTCTGGGAGCCATTTTTCTTGCTCAGTTCCCTCAGAGCCTGACCATTCTGCAGGGCCTAAAGTGACCTGGTAGCAGACCTAAGTGACCTGTTAGTTGGGTGGAGGAGAATAGAGTTTAAAGGCCTTTTGGCATTTCTGTTCCTTCCTCAGGATATGGCTTCACACATCAGGCTGTTTATTTTAGAAGAGCTTTAAGTCTATACAATGATTACACGTGGTAATAATTCTCAGTAAGGTTGAGGGCTGGAGGTTAGATCCGTTGTGTGCCTTTTGTGTTTAATAGACTTCCCTTTCTCTTGGCTCCCTGAGAGAGGAAAAGCAGGTCCCAGGACAGTTAGTGTAGCCTTGTCCCGGTGACCGTTCGAAAGCTGCTCCTTAAACCTTGTTCTTAGGAATGAGACAAGCAAGAAGGGGATATGGACCGATTAATGGGCTCTGGGCTGAGACCTAAGGAGCTTCCACTGCTGGGGAGGACCCACCATCTCAGGGACTGAATCAGAAGGAAGGATAGCAAACTGCCTCTGGTGCTGACTGGCATCCAACTCAGACATCTGCCGTGTATCTTTTGGAGCTTTGTGGTTGTTCGCAACTGACATGCAAACAAGCAATAATTATTTTATTAGTTGCTATTACAGCCACTTGTACTTGGTTCATTTTTTAATGGTTTATGAAATTTATAAAATCTCACATGAGCATCATCTTGTTTTCAGCTATAAAGCCAACTTGCATGTGACTTAAGAAGATAGCTGTGTTATAAATAGAGGCTTATTTGTTACATTACCAAAAAACCATTTGTTTTCAAAGTGCTTTATAACAGAAAAGGCCCTCAGAGAGGAGACAAAATCACATATCAGTGTGGCAGTGACCTTGCTTATATTTCCATAATGATGCGTGTGTTTCTTACAGAAGTCCTGAAAGAAGCAACTTGGATGACTGTGGGGAGAGAGATGAAAAATTGTCCAAGACAATCAGTTTTCTCCCTGAATCAATGAATCGGGCTTCAGAAACAGAGTCAATCGATGGAAATCTATCAAAAACGGTTCGTGTGTGATACCCCTTTAAAAATATATTTGATGCTGCCATGTGTTAATCATGATATAAGATAAAATGAAAATACAGTATACAAAATATTTAAAACTTAAGATGTCAGGCTGCCCTTTATTTTAGGAGTGTTAAGTGTGTAAGTAGCAGAGGTTCTGTTCAGAGCTGGATATGGTGCAGAGCTATCAGACAGAGCACCAGTCTAAGAGGGTTTAGACATCACTAAACATATAATAAGATGGCCTGGCCAGTGGTTGAGTGTCGACCCATGAACCAGGAGGTCATTATTTGATTCCCAGTCAGGGCACTTGCCCAGATTGATCTCCAATGGAGGGTGTGTAGGAGGCAGCCAATCAATGATTCTCTGTCATCATTGATGTTTCTATCTCTCCCTCCCTCTCTGAAATCAATAGAAGTATACTTAAAAATATAATAAGGCAGAGAAAGTCATAGCATAATTTTCCCCAGGGTAGACAGTGTGTGTAATAATCTGTTCTGAAGGGGGATGTGAGCCCTGAGCAGCTTGCTTGCATAATAGGAGATGCTTCTTAAGCTGACTGCTAAAGCAGGCACATCCAGTTAACTACTGGCTTTCAGAGTTAGTTCCTTCCTTTCTTTTTTTCAAGCATCCTTATAAGCCCATTGGTTTTTCCATAAGCTTCTATCACTTGGAGTCATTATTATTTTTAATACCCAGTCTGTCCCTCCTGAGCCCCTTTCCATTGGCTCCTTTGTCCTGTTAAAATCATGGGTGATTTCTGATGGCTTCCTCTGCACAAGAACACATCCCAGGCACATTTTGTATAATTTTGTTCCAGACTTAATATCAACCATTTTCACTAAACTATATAGTTCTTAGTGAAGAATGGTATTTAGAGATCACATTCTGAATACTAAGATTGTGCCTACCCTAGAGCTTTTATTCTGATTGGAACTGCAAGTTTGGGCCTAAAGCAGAATTTCTTGGTTTGGACAAGAGCATCGGCTGCAAATCCTAACTCTGCCATTTGCTGTATGACTTTAAATAAGTTAATTTAATTACTTAACCTTTCTCTGCTTTTGTTTTCTCAACTCCTTGAAGATGAGGACAATAATATCCTATGGGTATATTTATAAGGATTGAATGGGAAAGTGCTTTGAGCAGTCCCTAGCACACATTAAGTGTTCAGTAACCATAAGGTGGGATAATTGAAGGCAAATCTGTGTGTGGCCAGCAATGGACCTTTTTTACCTTTTCCCATGGAACTCCCAGAATCTCCTGTGAATAAATGTTAGGAAAACATGGAAACAGACTGTATTTATGTGAAAGCCCACCAAAGTGTCAGCTAGTTTCAGGCACCTATCATGCATCTCTCTTGCTCTGATTTTTTGTTGAGGGTTTCTTGCAAAACTGACCCATCTGGAGTCACCCCTAATTGCCCTCCCCTGCAGGCTTGGTCCCTCCCCAACTTCCCTCCCTCTCCTGCAGACCTGGTTGCCCCCAATTGCCCTCCTTTGCAGGCCCCAAGTGCCCTCCCTCCCCTGCAGGCCCAGTTGCCCCCAACTGCTCTCCCCTTCAGGCCTGGTCGTCCCCAACTGCCCTCTCCTGCTGGCTTGATTACTTACAACTGCCCTCTCCTGTCAGCCATCTTGTGGTGGCCATCTTGTGACCACCTGGGGATGGCTCTTATGCGAGGGTATGACAGTCAATTTGCATATTACCTCTTTATTACATAGAATAGGAGCTGTATCTTAATTAGTGACAACAGAAGAAAGATGTGTGGAAACTTACTCTACTTAGCATCTGTTACACTCTGGGTCAGCTAAATAAGCATATTGTTTTGCAGTGTGGAACTTCTGAATAAATGAAGTCTTTATTTTAGCAGTAGCCACTGCTTGAAGAGTCAGTCCTCTGATTAGGATAGTCTCATCCTTTATTAAATTGTGACCAGAGTCCCAGTAATTATTCTGCTTTCTGTGTGGCCAATGGAGCCTGTGTCTCATGGGCAGAAAGTATAAGGCTTGTATCTGTGTGTTTTGCTTTCTTTCATCTGCTTACACACAGACAATGCAAGGAAGTTCTTTGCTGTATACTTTATATTTTTTACACTGTTTTATTAAGCCTAATAATAACATTCTTCTACTCAAATACCAGCTTAGCAGTAGCATTCATACTTTAATGCCTAACATTTAATTTTTATAGAAATTATATATCTTTATTAAACCACTCCCTGAAAATATAGATAGCATCATATATCAAATATATTTTAATGCCCAATCTTTAGTCCCTTAACAGTAAAGACAACTGAGTTATTAGTTTGCAGTGAAATTAATCTTCCCTTTTAAGCTTCTCTCCCCTACTGTACTCTTATGTGACATTTATCTCTCTGTTTTCTTTCTCTTTTCCCTTTAGTTACTGGTCTTGAGAGATGGGTGAGTTTTCTTCTTTGAGATGTTTGGGCAAGTATTGCCTGGGGACACTAGCTGGGTTTTACTCCTCTCCTTTGCCCATCCCATAGAAGGAATACTCCATTATGTCGTCCTCTGCCCCCTCTCCCTTCTGTGTGAATGATTCACATGATGTTATTTCTCAGAGTTATATGATGTTAAGTTTATTGTTTGTTACTGCTTAAGAAGATGACTTTACAATGATATATATTACTTGCCAGTGTTTTATAGACTGAATTGGAAATGTGATGCAAACATAACAAGCACAGTTTTCAAAGTGTCCTTATTATTAAAGATTTCTCTGTGAAATCTAAGTCTATAATACAAATATATATTTTAAACTGGATTGTTTGCCTTTTAGGAGTTAGGGAAAGAGGAAGCCCAAAGCGAGAAACAGCTAAAAAAGAGTCCTTCACTAACTTCAGAAAAGAGGTTAAGTAGAGTACCACCAAAATCGCTGGACTTGAATAAAAATGAGTATCTTTCTCTGGACAAAAGCAGCACTTCAGATTCTGTTGATGAAGGTAAAGAATTCTTTCTACTTTCTCTAAGTTGGTATCAATAACTTGGGCTTGTCATACTTATTAAGTGGACATTTTAAGGATTAAAAAACAAAACAAAACATTGTAAGATTATTGACATTGAAGCCAGTGGAGTAGGTAAGCATTGGGGGAGGTTCCGGGCAGTGATTGCTTTCAGGCTGAGGAATGGGAACAATGTCTGGGTTTTTTCCAGACCTGCTTTCCTACAAGCAGTGCTCGGATAGCACCGGGGATGTTGCTGTGGTTTGGATCTGCAGGGCATATGAATGTGCTAGTCTAGCTGCTGTTTTGGTGAGACCTGGTTTGAGAACCCCGGAAGTCTTTTACTAGCATGAAAACCAAATCCATGGAAATCCACACTACATCCCAGTCAAGTCTAAATCCAACCCAAATTAAACCCAAATCTAAAGTCAGATCTAAATTCAACCAAAGCAAGCCCATGAAAACCCAATACAAATCAGGTTAGACTTTAGTTTGTGAACCCTGAAGTTTTTTTTTAAATAAAACTAAACCCACACTCTTAAAAACATAAGTAAAAATCCACTATTTCCTAGGAAGAGCTGGCTGCATTAAGAAGACAGTTGTTGAGTTCTTTTTGAAAGATGGTTAAGAGAGAGTATTTTAAAGACACTAAGCCCCTAAATCCTGGTGTTCTTACCTTTCATGCTTTGGTAGACAGCGGGTCTTAATTAGTTATCCCCTGCCTGGCCGAACCTCTGACTTTAGGAAGATCTACTCTGGCACCCAGTGGCCAGAGGAGTAAGTGACACCAAAACAAGGTTCTTTTTTCCTTTTTTCACCTGCTTCAAAAGTAGTTTCCTTATTGAGTTCCTATAAAATTAAGATTAACAATAGGTTGCTTAAAGGATACCATTAAAACTCATATACACTGCATTCACATCTAGAAATAAAGAAAGAATAACAGTGGTATAGTTGCTGTATTGCATGTGAACTCTGATCACATTTTGCAATTTGCTGGCACCCATTTAAACATACCATTGGGCTTCTCAGCAGGAAGGCCTTCCATGCAACATTCGGCCTCTGTGCAGGTTTTCTTTGAGGTGCTTCAATTAAATTATCCTTGGACAACAAATCAAGTACTGCTATTGCTTTCCCTAAGCAGGTTTCAAAATCTTGGGCTTATCAAATGTATTATGTGGGTTTTCTACTGAATTTATTTTTGTTTGTTTGTTTCTAAAAATTGTGAGGTTATGAAGACTCTTAAAGTCCATGAACTGGGAAGACGATGGGAAAAGTCAAAAGGAGTAATCCATCCCAAGAAATTTGGAAACGTGTGGGGATTTAGAGGGAGCTAGGGAGATGGCAGATTAAACCAAGCCTCACTGTATTTAAAAAGATAGTTTTTTAAAAATCTACTATTATGAGTAGGTTGAGTGAGAAAATGAGAGGATTTCCTTTCTACCACATATATCCTATACTCCTTGGAAAGGAGGTCCTGGACTGTTCTGATATAGAGGCTCCTTCTAGGCCCATGTAACCTTGAGAGGAATCAACAGAGCAGAGCATCACAAACTATCTCGCGAGAGGCCTGAAATGCTCCCAGCACAGTCCCCTTGCTGTGGAGTTCCCTCAGCCCCATAAGGAGAGCTTGGGATCTGCTGCGACTGGTTTCTTTTTCAAAGCTCAAGAGTGAAGGTTCCCTTTTTAGGGATATTTCTGTACATCCGGAAGTTGGTTCCGGCCTTTCAGCTGCTGAACAAAAGGCGAGGCATTGTGTTTTAATCTGTTAAACCATTTTAGTACATTAAAACTTCGTTATATGATAATTCACAGACAAAGCCACACAACTTTGTTTCTTTAGAGGGTTGTTGCTGATAGACTTTCCTAGCTCACTGTTTGCCCACTTTTGGGGAAGAGCTCAAACCATCGGACAAGATGCTGGGAGTTTTCTGGCACATGAAGGTGAGTGGACACCATGTAATGTGTCCACATCCACAAGGACCATGGGGGTTATGGCTGTGTTTTCAAGGACCTAATATTTACATTGCTTTCAGGATTTGCTTCTCCCCCATGCCCGCCTCTGTCATGCCAGGGGTAGCCTGCCCAGGAGGTGGAGCCTCGAGTGGAAGCAGACAAACTAGCTCATGGCCTGAGACACCTGTGCTGTGTCATGAGATAGAAGTTAAATTTAGTTTTGTATAGCGGAAGCTTCCCTAACCAAAGTGACTTATGCCGAGAATGGAAACTAAGGCAAAGATTAAGTGGGGGGAAGGGTGCATAAAAATAGCAAAGTTGGAACCCATGGTATACAGCTGACAGAACAAGATGAGTTAGAGGCCAAGCCATGCAAAGAGAAACAGGAATCAGATTATTGAGTAATGCTATTTCATTAATAAAGGGGAGAACAAGTATACCTCTGGGGAAAGCCAAAGAAAAGCATGACATAGTCTAGCACAATGGTTGGCAAACTCATTAGTCAACAGAGCCAAATATCAACAGTACAACGATTGAAATTTCTTTTGAGAGCCAAACTGCCCTCAAACTAGGTCAAGAAGACGGCAGGTCACCAGTCTTTAGAAAATGGATCTTCTTTCCTTCCTTCCTTCCTTCCTTCCTTCCTTCCTTCCTTCCTTCCTTCCTTCCTTCCTTCCTTCCTTCCTTCCTTCCTTCCTTCCTTTTAAAATATATTTTATTGATTTTTGTACAGAGAGGAAGGGAGAGAGATAAAGAGTTAGAAACATCAATGAGAGAGAGTCAGCTGCCTCTTGCACACCCCCTACTGGGGATATGCCCGCAAACAAGGTACATGCCCTTGACCGGAATCGAACCCAGCCCTTCAGTCGCCAAGCCGACGCTCTATCCATTGAGCCAAACCGGTCCCGGCTCATCTGCTTTTCTTGCATGCCTACCTACTCCATCTTTCATGCTCCTTCAACACACTGTCAGCATGTTCCAGTTTTATCCATGTCCTTCTCCTTTTCCGATCTCTCAATTTCCCCGCCATTTCCACCGGCCGCTTTCAAACTGGTCTGCTGGAGTAATACCTCTTCTTCACTGGAAATGGTGACCTGCTGCGACAGTGAGCATGTTCCTTTCCCCATGTAAATCCCCGCTGCTGGCTCAGGAGGTCACAGCGATGCGAAAAGCAATGTTCCTTGGATAGGAGGCTCTAAAATACCATGTGTGTCATACATAATTAGTCCCAGGTGGAAATAGTTCATTTCTCATCCTTCTTCAAACACATTTACATGCCAGCGGTATTACTGTTAGTTTCCTTTAGTGATACCAACAAATTCAGTTTTTATCATTTATGATACAGAGCAGTTTATCTCATAAGGGAGCTTAAATGAAATAGGAAAATATTATATTGAAATGCCTATATGAGTGGGATTTGTTTCCTTCTTAAATGTGAACAAAAACTTTACTTTTGAAAAATTATAGCTCCAGGGCTCCTCAGAGAAAAGACAAGGGCTGGGATGGGGAATATACACAGTGAGCCTAGCGTGGTTGTAGTGCCAGAAAATAAGGCACCTACAATAAAAGGGAGGCGTGGCCAAGGACACAGGAGCCCACCTGACAGAGCTCCCAATGGCCAAATAAAAAAATTTGAGCAACAAAATAAATAATTCTCATGGACTAGAGAATAAAGTAAGTCCATACTGATATAAATGATTGAATAAATGCACACAACGGAGGAGGAAACACAAATCTTTCTCACAAAGTTCCAGATAATGTATGCAGATACTCCCCCTTCCAGGAGGCGGAGGGTAGTTCTCTCCTCCCAGTGACTCATCCCTAACACTGGAGGGGGGATGTGGTTACTGGGCAATGGAGAAACCTGCCAGACACCACCTTAAACAAGCGGTCAAGGTTAGCATCATCACAGATCATGTTGACATGTCTACCCCTCTCTCCAGTTTGATGTGGAGAGCACTTTATCTTTGTGGTTTTCTTCCCCCAAATCCACAGCCCTGGTCCAATCATGAAGAACCCTCATGAGCCCTGAGTGAGTGACATGCTATAAAGCATCTCACAGGGCTCTTCAAATGTGTTAAGGCCATTAAAAAAAAAAAAAAAAAAAAAAAAAAGGAAAGCAGGAGGAGGGACTGTCGTAGATTGTAGGAGATTAATGAGATATAACAAGTAAATGCAACATGGTATTTTGGATTTTTGGATTGGCTCTTAGTTCAGGAAAGGACATTATTGGCTGCGGGGGCATTAAGGCCTAGTTTAGTTAATTGTACATATACAATTACTCAAAATTAAAATGTTTAAAAGTATGGTTGCAAATTCAGAGTTCTATAAATAAAAATAGACCCTAAGATATTTTTAGTGATTTCAATAGCCACTAAACAAATTCACAAACCAGAGGTATTATTAATTTCTTTTAGTGATACCACAAATTCTAAGTTTGTTCAATCAAAAGTATTTTATACTCACTATGTATCAAGCACATAATATACATTGGTGTTTAAAGTCAACATGGTTCCTACTCACGTGGAACTTAGAGTTCAATGCAGGAGAGAGACAATAGGCAAGTCAATAAGCCAACAAAAATATAATTACAAGTTGGGATAAGTTCTGTTGGGATAAGAAATGAGCTGGATCAAGAGAATCACCTGTACTTGTTTGTATTCTTTGTGAACATCTGAATTATTTTTACAATGAACATATATTACTTCTATGTCAGAAAGGCCATTTATCAAGCCTAATTGGGAAGCTGACTCACAAAATCTTAGCAAATTGCCTAGTTTCAGTGGCTCATTTCTATGCCGAAGGAGCCATTATTTGAAATTGCAGTGAAGAGCTTGTGCCTACAAGAATAAGTCAATATTTACTTGATATCTAAATCCTTATATCAAGCATTTATAGCAAAGTAGAGACACAAATGATTTAATGATGGAGAAAAAGCAATAGTTGAGATGAAGACAGAGCTAGAAAAGGTTTTCTGATTCTTAGACGGTCTTTTACTTTCCCAGACTGCTTCCTGAGGTGTAATATTGGTGGATGCTCTACATAGACAATTCTTAGAGCTTGATTTCTGAAATATGGGGAGTTTTGGGCACAGTTTCCGTTTTGTATTGAATAATCCTTGAAATAATAAATAGCCCCAGTCCTGAAATCATTAAAATTACATATTGGATTGCTTGACTCTATTTCCCTTACTTTACCAAGCTCCTATTCCTAGCTGTCTTTTCTTTCTGATTATTCTAAGTTAAACTCCTGGAAATATAAAATAGAGGTTAAGCTTGCATGTTTTGGGGCTGTAGTGAATTCCAGTTCCAATTCAGTCTCTGCCTAACTGTGGAGCTTTGGTGATCACTCCGTGCCTCAGTCTGCTCATCTGTGCAATGGAAACAATGATGATTCCACTTATCTCCCAGGATTGCTGTGAGGATGAGTGAATATTTGTAAAGTGCTTAGCACAATGTATGGCATATAGTAAGTGCCACAGAAGCATGGGCTATTCTATACAATGTTCCCTAGGACTGTGAGGAGAGGTGAGCAGAGACTGCTTCTTCATTTGTGGCCAGTAGTTTTCAACCTCATTATCATTATTAGGTTCCCAGAAAATGGGTAATATTTTGTTAGACGTTATTTAACTTTGAAGCACACTTTCGGAAGGATTTCTTCTATTAATGTGTGGCATTAAGAATAGGGTGTGAATACAGCGTTACCTGACTTGGGGGAGTGAGCTTTGAGAACGTATTCAGACTAGTAAATGAGTGGGTGCAGCAGGTACTAGAGCCACTCATACTTTATGTCCACTGACTGCGTGAGCACTCAGAAATGCGTCCTGCTAAGTGCGGTGGTATATGCTGCGCCATGCATCTAGTTTTGCCCTTGAATCCTTTGAAATATTCTTTTGAGTGATGCATTATGGGAGTGTGATATCATTGAAAGTTTAATATTTTTCTATCTTTTAGGTATTGACAACTGAAAATATTGATCATTATAGTTTAATGAGTAGTTATACATCATACATACGTATATACACCAATTTAGAGTTCTTATAGTGCCCTGAATATGCTGATCACTGTAATCACGTTTAAAAACTATTTTGTACCAAAAATAAGCTAACAAAACCAAACCTTAAAATTACCTTTCCTTGGTTTCTTCTCTTATGGTTCTGTTTTTTTCCCCCCACAGAAAATATTCCTGAGAAAGAGCTTCATGGAAGACTTTATATCGACCGTGTTTTTCACATCGGTGCTGATAAAATGTTTGAATTGCTCTTCACCAGTTCACGATTTATGCAGAGATTTGCCAATTCTAGAAATATAATAGGTTGGTTTTTTGTGATTTTATTCTCTCTAGAAAGTTGAGCCTATATAAATTGATTTACATTGTCAGGGGGAAAATCAGACAGGTTCTGACTGTACTTTGGTGATATGTAAACTAGTGTTTAAGTGTTTCAGTTAAATTCACATATAAACAATAGTCCAGTTAGTCAATTCCATTCAAGCCTTTGAAAACTGAAGCTCTATTCATTTATTAATGTAGCGGTTCAGTTGGGTTGAACCCATTTTAAAGGGGTGGTTGTGGAACAGCTGGATGCTAGTAGACTGTAAATTGGTACAATCACTTTGCAATATGGTTTAGCAGAATCTATTAGAGCTGATCCTATACATTCTCTCTGACTTAGCAATTCTACTACTAGGCATGTATCCTTCACAAATGGATACATGTGTACTCTGAATGACATGTACTATTATTCATAGCATCATTATTTAGAATGCCCCAAAACACAAAAAAGCCCAAATATCCACTAGTTCGAGGCACAAAAAAATTGTTTATTATTCATAGTAGAGTAGCAAAACACTTTCTAACTAATAGTTATTAGAGTCTTGTGATTACTATATAAAGAATTTAATATTTAAAAAAACTCCTTTATTATATCTTATGAATCTATTTTGTATTTTCTTGCTATTCATGTTTGCCTATTGAACTTGACATTTCAGAAGAGTTGGATGCATTATTTCTCTTAATTTTTTAAAGATGAAGCCTGTTGATACTGCACTGCTGTTTTATGGTTGAAAAGATCTATAAGGAGCTAGCATGTTATTCTTAAAAGAGGTTTGTTTTTTGAATCACAACTGTGTTTAGTGTCCAGCATCACTTCCGACTTCAGTGTGGATGAATACATGTGCTATCTAGTGTTTTAAGCGGCTTTGGGAAGCAAAGGCTTCTGGCTAGTTCTAAATCTAAACAGTTATAGGCACATTGTAATTTAGACCTAGAATTACTCGGAAGGTTTTCTCCAAAAGAGAGAATGTGTTTATGATTGCACACCATTGTGTTTTCTGAATTTGTTAGCTGGTAATCAGTTATATTTCTTGATAATGGATTTCAAAGGCTTCTTTTAAAAAGCATTGTGGCCCTGGCTGGTGTGGCTCAGTTGGTTGAAACACTGTCCTGTGCACCTGCCTGTTTGAGTCCCAGACAGGGCACCTGTCCAGCTTGTGGGTTTGACCCCTGTTTGGGGGGCATATGGGAGGCAACCGATTGATGTTTTTTCCTCTCCCTCTCTGTCTCCCTTCCCCTCTCCAAAATCATTAGAAATATATGTTTTAAAATATTAATATAATGAAAATATTTTCATAGTCAATTTGTAGATTTAATCTAATCACTAACATTGCTACAACTGTATCTAATTATAATTTTTTTAATTAGGGGTCTTTTAAATCAGTATTGTTTTAAGCCTTTGTTTACAGTTATATGACTACTTATATATTTCAAAGCTTAGTTTTGTCCTTTTATTCAACTTTTTAACTTTGACAAAATGTTAATCTTCAGAAAAGTTTCACGAATAGTCTAATAAAATACACACACCTATCGCCTAGATTCACCAATGTTTTTATTGTGATAAATGTATGAAGATAAGATACCATTTTAAAGTATACAGTTTAGTGGTATTAAATACGTTCATATTATTGTCCAGCCATCACCACCACCCAGCTCCAGAACTTTTTCATTTTCCCAAACTGAAACTCTGTATCCATTAAACAGTAATTATCCATTACCCCCTCCTCCCAACTCCTGATGATCACCATTCTACTTTCTCTTTTAATTTGACTATGCTAGTACTGCCTTTAAATGGAACCATACTGTATTTGTCTCTTTGTAACGGCTTATTTCACTTTCCATAATGTATTTAAGGTTTATCCATGTTTTATCATGTGTCATAATTTCATTCCTTTTAAAGACTGAATAATATTCCATTGTATGTATGTACCACATTTAGTTTATCCATTCATATATTGATGGAGTTCTGAGCTGTTTCCATTTTTTGTGTGTGTGTTAATCCTCTTTTGAGGATATTTTTTCCATTGCTTTTTAGAAAGAATGCAAGGGAGGGAGAGAGGGGAGAGAGATGGAGGGGAAAAAGATGGAGGGAAGAGAGAGATGGAGGGGAGAGAAAAAGAGAGGGGGGGGAGAGAGAAAGAGAGAGAGAGGTGAGAGGGGAGAGAGATGTGAGAGACACATTGACTAGTTGCCTCCTGAATGTGTCCTGGACTAAGGGAGGGGAACGAACCACAACCCAAGTAAGTGCTGTTGACTGGGAATCAAACAGTGACCCTTTGGTGACCACACTGGCTAGGCCTGTTTCCACTTTTTGGTTATTGTGGATAATGCTGCTGTGAACACTGATGTACAGATATCTGTTTGAGCCCTTGCTTTCAATTCTTTTAGCTACATACCTAAAAGTGGAATTTCTTAATCATAAAGTAATTTTATGTTTAATTTTTTGACTGTTTTCCATAGTGGTGACATCATTTTACATTCCCATCAGCAATGCATAAAGATTGCAGTTTCTCTACATCCTCACCAAAATGTTATTTTCTTTTTTTGTGTGTGTGATAATAGCCATCTTAATAGTTGTGAAGATTCACCAATTTTAAACCTTAGTACATCAAAGGATTCTTAAAGTATTTGTTCTGAAATTCCTGATTTTCATTATTTCAACTCAATAAATTAAAATGGCTTTCTTGCCTTTTTTATACGCGTTTGCCATTTTTTCTTAAAATTTCATGCCCAATTTTGTTATACCTTTATGAGCTTTTCTCAGGCATTGGGGAACTTGTCTTTTCCAAGATGTTGTTAGTTAGATAATGTCATGGCACATGAGATTCAGTAGGCTTGTTGGTAACACTGGTGGAAATACAAGCAGAAGATACTTTTTGTTGTCCTTGTTGATGGCTGCTTTGTTGAATACTTTTAACAGCAGAATTCAACAATATCTTTCAATTCTATTGCTGATTCACAATGGATTATTTGTTTAATTTTTCTGAAACAGGCTGGCATACGACCAAAGTAACCTTTGAATAGCATTTTAGAATTTTATAAATTTCTTGTAAATAAATCATTTGTATAGAAAATTCTGGGTGATATATTCCATGATTTGTGATGTTGCTTTTTAATTGGGTTGTAAGATTTTTTCATATACTCAAAAGGCAGCTTCAGCGTCCGTCATTAAGTCCCTAGGCCTGGCTGTATGAAAGAAATTGAGTAAAAGTGGGTAGATCATAATGCCTGGCTTCATTCCTTTGATGATAGGTAATGGGTTAATAAAGGCTCCTATATTTTAGGATGCTGATGAATAGCAGCCAGACGTATGAATTGCCCAAGTCCATTTGTGCTAAAGCATTAGATGATTTAGTCATATCTTTGAATAGAGTTCATGATGCTGTTACCTCTACTTTCCTAGACTTTGGCTTGTAAGATGACCTTTGCTATATAGTGCTATAGTCTACAGATATATTTCTGTCCAAATTGTGTTTTTACTCACTGTGTTGTTATTAAGCAAATAAAAGAGAATTTTGATGAAGTTCTTGCTATAAATACAGAGAGGTTATCCTGTATCGTGTGCTATATAGGCTACAAAATTATTTGTATTCCACCACCCCCTCCTTATTTAAAGATTTCAGCAGCTAAGCCATTAATGTTATTTGACCTCTCATTGACATGATTTCTCCACAAGTTGGGATCAAGGCCACATTCTTGCATAATGACACAAGGCTTTGTCTTAAATGATGGGAATGCTGAGTGTTTTTTGGTCTCTGTTTGATAAGGCTGGTGTTATCACTTCTCTTTGTAGATTCTGGGGAAGTTATTTATTTTTAAATGTTCTCATTGATTTGAGAGAGAGAGAGAGAGAGAGAGAGAGAGAGAGAGAGAGAGAGAGAGAGAGAGAAGAGAAGAGAAGAGAAGAAGAGAAGAGAAGAGAAGAGAAGAGAAGAGAAGAGAAGAGAAGAGAAGAGAAGAGAAGAGAAGAGAAGAGAAGAGAAAAGAAGAGAAGAGAAGAGAAGAGAGAGGGAAGGAGAGAGAGAGAAATATTGATGAGAAAGAGAAACACACCCCCTTCTGGGGATCAAGCCCACAAACCTGAGCATGTGCCCTGACCGTGTATGGAATCAGTGACTTCTCGATGCATGGATGACACTTAACCACTGAGCCACACTGGCAAGGGCAGTAACTGGGGACTTTATTATTTTTATTTTTTTAATTAATTAATTAATTTATTTATTTATTTTTACATATTTTATTGATTTTTTTTGCCCCCCTACCTCCCTCCCACACAACCCCTCCCTCCTCAGAGTTTTATGTCCATTGGTTGTACTTATATGCATGTATACAAGTCTTTCGGTCAATCTATTATCTCCCCCGTAACTGGGGACTTTAAAAAGAAGAAGCCTACAGCCGAAACCGGTTTGGCTCAATGGATAGAGCGTCAGCTTGGGGACTGGAGGGTCCTGGGTTTGATTCCAGTCAAGGGCATGTACCTTGGTTGCGGGCATATCCCCAGTAGGGGGTTTTTCAGGAGGCAGCTGATCGATGACTCTCTCTCATCGATGATTCTAACTCTCTATCTCTCTCCCTTCCTCTCTGTACAAAATCAATAAAATATATTAAAAAAAAAAAAAAAGAAGCCTACAGATGAACCAGATTTTTCTTTTATCTTAGAAAAGTAAAAAACATATTGATAGACAATACTTACAGAGGAACCTCTGGCCCATGGGCCTTATAAGGCCTTTGAAATCATATGGTCTGGCCCTGCTCCGGCAGTAGGGGTGAGCTAATTAAATGTTTGACCAAATATAGCAGGCTTATTTTTATTTTTATTTTTTAGGGTTGTTTTTAATTTATTTTTTAAATTAAATTATTATCTGTAGCAGGCTTATTTTTTAAGTTGACAATTTTGTTTAGCCTCCAAATGATGTTATAAATATCAAATGGCCCTTGGCAGAAAAAAGGTTCCCACACCTGATAGAAGTAAATAGATCTTATATGTCACATTTAAGAAGAGTGCCTAACAATTACTTTTACTTTTGGATTGGTCAAAAATAAAATTTAAATAACTCAAAAACTACCTCTTTCATTCAAGTCATACTCTTCAGATTTCTAGAACTAACTCATTTTATGCTTGCTATGATTAGATGTAGTATCTACCCCTTGGACTGTGGAACCTGGAGGCAATCAACTGAGAACCATGACCTACACCATAATTCTTAATAACCCGCTCACTGGGAAGAGCACCGCTGCCACAGAAAAGCAGGTATGTCCCCTCATCAGTTCTCCAGAAGAGTCACACATGTGGGAAGAGAGAAAATGCCTTTCCCAGTCACGAGTTCATAAAACAATGTCAACAAATAAATGACAAGTAGAAAAGGGAGCAGAAGTTGTTATCGGTTAAAAGAGACTTAAGAGACATTTCAACCCAATCCTAATTCAAACAAACCAACTATAAAAAAAGGTACTCATGAGATTTAAGAAATTGTTAACTTTTTTTGTGTGTGTCTGTAATGGTGTTATAGCTGTATTTTAAAGAAAAGAATATTTATCTTATAAAGAGACATACTGAAAAATGTATAGAGAGACATACATATTTATGTGTTTACTAGAGGCCCAGTGCACGAATTCATGCACGGGTGGGGTTTGGCCAGCCCTACCCTTTGGTCAAACTCCAGTTGAATTCCTGGTTAAGGGGACAATTTGCATATTACCCTTTTATTAGATAGGATGGACGATATTCTACTGATGTCTGGGATATCCTTTAAAAGTAACTAGCCAGGCAGAAGATGGTGGGTGTGTGTGAGAGGGATTGTGGGGCTGCGGTATAGATGAAACAGGACTAGGTAGAGTTAATGTTGTTGAAGCTGGTTGATGAGCTTATGAAGGTTCATTATGCTTCATTTCTACTCTTGTGTATGTTTGAACCTTTAAAAAAAAAAAGTAAGTTTTAAAAAGAGTTCTATTGGCAGGGCCGGGGTGGCTCAGTTGATTGAGTGTTGTCCTGTGCACTGGTTCCATTCCCATGGGGTACATATAGGAGGCAACTGATCAATCTCTATCTCTTTCTCTCTCTCTCAGCATGTCCTCAAGTGAGGATTAAAATAATAATAATAAAATAAAAAGAACGCTATTGGAATTTGATTTGCAGAATCATGCCAAAGGTTAGGGTCAAATAACTCTATGGCTGCTGTGACATATGGGGAAGAGATGATAAGATATTTAATACCCTGCTTTGTGTTGGCATGGCACTGTTTTATAGCAGAGCTTGTGTTTGGCCAATTTGTGTTGAAGTATAGTGCATCTGCTGTGCAAATAGTTTGAAAATATCTGTTAACATCTGAACTAATTATGCTATTGTAGTTTTGTTCATCAGTGTTAAAAATGTCTTAAAAATTTTTTTCAAAAGAATTTCAGATAATTAAGAAAAGTTTGGTATTTCGGTATGAGATTCTTTGATAACCTTAGAGAATATGTGTGATTACAGTAAGAAATGTTTGGCCAACAACCACTTCAACCTGTTTAGGAAAAGCAGTTTTTTTGTTTGGTGGCCTGCTTTTTTGATGAAGAGTGGCTTTATGATACTTTGATAAATTTGGGAGTGGGGTCCTTAATTTGTTCAAGCGCTTTTTGAATTGTTTCCTAACAGGGACATTTAATATTCTTTATAAACTAATAATATACATAAGAGATTATATGTTTGCTTTCTCCTCCTCATGTCTAAAAGGAAGAAAAATAATTACACTATGAAATGGCGGAGAGGCAGGTCCCTTCTTATTTCATAGACAGCACAGCCAACGTGAAAGCTCTTCTGGCTTCGTACATAGGCCTGGCATGTCTTTTGTAATGTCTGAAAATGAATTCTAATATATATGTTTGGAATGGACAAGGAATCTGATATATTAAACATGCACATGCAAAAATATTTTTTGTTGTATTTTGGCAGACACTGTATAAAGAAAGTCGGGAAACACAATTTTATTTGGTAGATGCAGAAGTGGTGACGCATAATGTCCCCTACCATGACTACTTCTATACCGTGAACAGATACCACATCTTCCCGTCCTCAGAGCAGAAATGCCGGTTGAGGTGAGTGACTACAGATGAATGTTTTAGTCTGGAGAGAGAGGTTAGATTACGCTCTGGTAACATAATAGTAGTCCTAAGATCTTAGTGGTAGCTTTACACAACAAAGCTTTATTTTTCTTCCAAATGACACATCCACCATTGGTCAGCAGAGAGATGGGGCTCCTCCCCCCACGTCCAAGCCCACGAAGGGTTAGACATCCTGCAGCTACACAATCCAAGAGTATGTGTCATTTCAGCTGCTACAGAAAGAACTGGGCTCACAATTCAGTAGCCAGAACTAAGCACTAGACCCCGTTTAATGGCCAGGGCCTTTGGAGTTCTTAAGGAGCACATGGTTGCAATGGAAAAGAAGAAATGTTGGTGCATTAAAATTAGTCATGGGCCATCAGATGCTTGGCTTACTCTTAGCCAATGTAGTTATTTTCAACTAATTTATGAGCACTGGAGATTTTTTATACAAGGTGTTTAGAAAACTTAGACTCTATTTTGAGCCTTTTCTGCTATTTAAGTGAAGGAACTTCAGCAAAGAGAAAGGAAAGAAATAGTATGCCAGGTACTTAGAAGGAAAATTTGATAACGATATTAATCATACATAGTAATTTTTGAGAGAAGTCATTATCAGTGAACATATTTTCTTTTATAATATTTATGACTTTAAATCCTTTCAGTTCCCCACTGAATACAATATTATATTTAATTGCAATGTTAATATAACTAAATTCTGTCATTTGAATAAATATTATTCTCATCCTGTTAGAGTTTCCACAGACTTGAAATACAGAAAACAGCCGTGGGCCATTATCAAATCTGTAATTGAGAAGAATTCCTGGAGCTCATTGGAAGACTATTTCAAACAGCTTGGTTTGTAAATTTCTTGATTTATCTATTTTTGTAAAGATAGCATTTATTAACAAAATGGACTAATTATTAATTTGGATTCATAGCAGAAACTGGTAGATAATGTTGGAATGACTTCCACTGAAGTGTGGTTATGACTACCCCACTTGGAATTTCACACTTTTAATTTTCACTGATCTAACAAACACTAATATAATTTTTACTGTAATCCAGATAGTGCTCTATGTGCTTTAAAAATATCAACTCATTATAACCTACGAGGTATTATTTCCTCCCCCCCCCCCCCCATTTTACCAAACAAGAAGTATTGAAACACAGAGGAAGAGGTTAAATGATTAGTCCAAGATCACAGTTAGGACATGTCACACTTGCCTGACTCTGCAGGAAGCCAAGGAAGCTGACTGCAGTGAGGGCCTACATACTGGATCATACATTTGCACCTGTGCTTGTTAATGTACGGGGAGTCCTCAACCCACATCTGCCTTATCAACTCAGCTTTCCTGGGTTTGTGCAGATGTACTACACAATGGTGTAATGTACATGAGTGAATTTTGTGGAGGTGGATACTAGACAAGGGGAAGTAATACAGTAATTCTGTTCGGATATTCCTTAAAATTCCTTAAAACACGAGAAAAATATATAGCTACATGAGCAAAATTAATTTTAGTTAAAGCAAAGCTGATAGTCAACTCAGTTAATTTGTCTATTATCCTCTAGATTATAGATTATTTTATTTCCTTGCTTTTCTCTTTTTGTTTTTTTCATTATTAATCTCCTAATCAGGAGCGAAGAAAATGAGAATCAAAAATTAGTTTGGCCACTGGATAATGAGCTTCTAATGAAAAAATCTTGTAAAGGTAAAGGTTGAAGCAATTGACAAAAATGACTTTTTTTTTATGTTGTTTGCAGATTTTCTTTGTTAGGGCTTCCTTTTTTGTAAACCGTTATTGTAAATTAGAACTATAATTTGCTACTCCTTCCTTTGAAGTTGACCATCAGGTATCATAATCTATCTTGGAAATCTTTCTAATGATCCAATATTAGTGGGTAGCCTGTTGTTTCTATAATTGAAATCGTTACATTAATATTTAATATAGCACATGGCAAATTTGCTCTGATGATCCCATCATTTATTAATATGGTTCATTCTTCCTAGAATAATGAAGCCTTATTATTGTACTCTCTAAAACTTTTCATTAAAAGTAAGGTTTGAATGTAGGCCGTAAGAACCCAGGTACACAAACAGAACACAAAACAAGCACCATATCCACTGTATCTTACAGTTGAGAAGCTTACTCCAATACCTAAAGATCTCTTTCCTTTTCAGAATCAGATCTGTTAATGGAAGAATCTACGATGAGTCAGTCCATTGAAGACCCTGGGAAACTTAGTGGCCTACGAAGGAGAAGGCGAACATTCAACCGAACAGCAGACATGGGTCCTAAGCTTTCTTCTCAGCGTTCTTCCGGAGATGGGGGTATGGACGACAAAGGAGCTGCTGCAGGTAGCTACTATCTGGTGGAAGGGTTAGTTTACTTATATGATGCAGAAGATGTCCCTTGAACAGTTGCAAAATAGCAGGCGTATGGCCAATAGGAGTTTCTTATTGGATCACATGGCATTTTAAAAAATGGACATTTTGTATAAAAACTCAGACTTGACACCCCTGGACCAAATCCTTTCATAGCAACAGTTAGTTGGGACTTTATAGTAGCTGCTGCATTAGACCAGGTCCCCAGTCACTAATTCCCACCATTTGTCCCAGCTGCTGGATACTTCATTCATTCATTTCTTGCTCAGCACTTACAGACATTTTGAGTTCTACCCTTGAATGTACTACAGTGATTACATGTTTTTAATCCTTATATACTGTCAGGGCCAATGCAGAAAAATTGCAAAGATGGAATTTGAATGCTTTTTTTAAACCCTCACCTGAGGACATTTTCCCATTGATTTTTAGAGAGAGTGGAAGAGAGAGGGAAAGACAGAGAAACATCGATGTGAGAGTAACACATCAATTGGTTGCCTGCTGCACACACCTTGACCAAGCTCCAAGCTGGAGAGGAGCCCGCAACCAAAGTATGCACCCTTGACTGAGATCGAACCCTTCGGTCCGCAGGCCGACACTCTATCCACTGAGCAAAACGGGCTGGGGTGGAATTTACTTTATTATCCTTGCTGCTCTCAATGTTGAAGACATCCTGCCTGTACTAACGTTATTCCCTCCCTGTGGGATGGCTAAAGCTGCAATACCTTCTCGTCCTTCTACATTATAAAATGCTCTTCTCAGGCTATTTCCCCTCACTTTTTAAAAATAAAAAATGTTTAATGTTGACATTGCAGGTGTCCCCCTTCCCTCCCCTTTGCCCACATCCACCTGCTCTTGCTTCCCCCTCCTGTGGCCTTCTTATTTCTTAGTGTGACTATGTTCAAGCCCATGGTCCAATTTTGAAATTTCAAAGCATGGGCAACAGAGAACAGGCGAAGATGACTTAAAATTTTTTTCAAGGAAGGAACTATTATTCCCCTAACTCAAATATTGTTTGCCGAGATAGAACTCAGCTAGAGATCATACATGATGTGTTGAATTGCATATTTAATTTTAGAGCAAATTAATTTGTAGTATAGGCCAAATTTGGAGGACTCATGTAAGTTTTCTTATTGTAGATGTGTTTCCTATTACTCAGGATATCAGAAACCATAAAAAGGTGCAAGGAGTTTTCTCTAAGTCACTTTAAAAAATATATATATATTTTATTGATTTTTTTACAGAGAGGAAGGGAGAGAGATAAAGAGCTAGAAACATCGATGAGAGAGAATCATCGACCAGCTGCTTCTTGCACACTCCCTACCGGGGAGGTGCCCGCAACCAATGTACATGCCCTTGCCCGGAATCGAACCTGGGACCTTTCAGTCCGCAGACCAACGCTCTACCACTGAGCCAAACCGGCTTTGGCAGTCACTTTGTTTTTACAAATAATTTTTTAAAATCTCTTTTTCTAGTTCTTTTCAAATGAAATTAAAATTTTATTGGTTGTAATCATAATCCTGGTTTTAAGGCAGCCTTCTTTGTGTGTGATCCGTAGGAAAGAAAAAAGACACGGAAAGCTATCACACCGTCATTGTGGTGATGAGTATTTTGTAAGTATTTATTTTGAATGCTTATTTAGCTTAAGATTTCACTTTTAACAGTTTACAAAAGGATTGATGCATTTGTATATTATTGTGTCGAACTTGCCACTATTTGACCAGCTTGGGCCTACAGATACAGTAATTTTATAGCCTTCTGTTTCATAGTTGTTGATGTATGATTTTCAGAAGAATTATTAAATTTGAAGGATTACTAAGTACATGTTCAGTAAATGTTTTTATTTTTTAAACTAATTTATTTCTTATATCATAAGTTTTTATGAGATGTTCCATAAATTTAAATGGGATATCTCTATATATAAGCCTAAGGGACCATTAAGATGGAATGACCGGAACGACCGGTCGACCAGTCGTTATGATGTGCACTGACCACCAGGGGGCTTCATGCAGGAGCTTCCCCCTGGAGGTAAGTGCACTCTCACAGGGGGAAGTGCCACTCAGCCAGAAGCCAGGCTTACAGCTGGCGAGTGGGGAATGGCGGCAGCAGGCACAGCGGGCCCGGATGAGTGTGAGCCGGTGCCCAGCCCCAGTTCAGGCACCTCCATGGCCACCTGCTGCTTGCCTACTGCTACGTCCCTCGGGGGATGTCCAACTGCCGTGGGGATCAGGCCTAAACAGGAAGTTGCACATCCCCCAAGGGGTCCCGGATTGCAAGAGGGTGCAGGCCAAGTTTCCTGCACCAAGCCTCTAGTTTATTTATATATGCAGACTGGTGAAATCCCAATAATGCTATATTACTCTTTTTTTATTAGACCAATAGTGCTTGCCCTTTACTGTGAATAAGAATCACTTGCTAAAATGTAGATTTCTCAGCCTCGGTTTCAGAGATTGCGTGTAGGTCTTAAATAGGGATCAGGAATCAGTATTTTAAAACACTGCAGGTTATTCTGATCAAAGTGGTCTGAGGGTCACATGAAGGGAAATAGTGGGCAATTAGTGTGAATCTCAGAGTGTTCTATAGGAGTCCATTTAACCAGTCGTGTTTAGAGTACTGTCATCCACATGGCCATATGTGAATCTTGAGGTAGTCCATTAGATTCCATTTAATTGGTTCTGAATGAAGAATGAAGTTCTTTTATCTGCTGTTTTTTCTAATTACAGATTTCAAAACATAGGAAATAATTGTTGTGCTTTTGAGTTTTATAAAAAGGTTTTCATATTCTGGGTTCAGTTTGCCATGACAATTTTGAATAGTAAATATTATCAGTGGTCTTTTGCATTATTACTTTGCAGAAAGTTTATACTCAAAATGTTGAAATGTTCATGTATGTATTATTTCAGTGCCATAATAATTTCATAATTTGATTTTTTTGCTACTACATTAGTTTTAATTTTAAAAAATATCCTCTTCTAGATGTTTAGAGGGGAATATTGTATGTTTTTAAGGGCAAATGAATATTTTAACAGAAAAAAATGACATGTGCCACCTATATATTTTCATATATGTATAATAAGAAATATATCCATTTACTTGAAAGGCTGCTGTGAGAACCAAGAGAGAAAGTTCATTTTATATCTGATACAATTAATATATATTTCAGATTTGATACTTTCTTTGTCCAAGTTGAACTTGTGGAAATTTTTGCTGAATGGTTATTTTTAAAAATTTATTTTGGTTTCCACAGGGAATAACAGGTACATCATGATGTACCTAAGATTAGTACATATTGATCTTCACTTTCTGTTTGAAGTATAGCATTATGGGGTTACAACTGCTTAAGCCAAAAAGCACCCAAAAACCGATATTGAAAGCTTGCCTGGTAAAGGTCTAAGCTGGCGGTCACACCTCAACACAGAGAGGAGAGATGTCAGGGACTACGGTCCCTCCAGTTACTTTCTGACTTTTTTCTCAGTGTCCATTTAATACTTAAAAGTAATGATGTTATATATTAGGGATAATTGACTTAAATACTAACAATAATTGGTAATTGGTTGGGTAATATACATCTTTGAAAGCTTGGCATTTTCAATCTGCATCAGCAGTGCTCTAGGTCTGGATAAGAGGGGACTGACCAGGTGTGCTTTGCTCTGCCCAGCTTGCTGTTCCTGGTGATTTTGAACGTGGCACTATTTATGAAGCTGTCAAGGATAGAATATGCTGCTCAGGCTGTTTACCGTCTCCACCACCAAGAAGAGAAATCCTTAAAGTAAGTTTTCCCTCCCTCCAAACTGCTATTATTTCAATAATTCCTTTAATGTACAACACATTTCCTGTTTTAGAGATTTGGGGCTGCTAACTTTTCTGTAGTCACGCTCTTTTTGTTCCTTAATTTCCTATTTTGTTTGCAAATGTATGGAGCACTAGTGATTTCTAGAAATAAAAGATTAGCAGCTATTCCCCTGATTTTTAAATGGTATTTTTCTTTCAGTTTAGCCTCTGACATGGTGTCAAGAGCAGAAAACAGTCAAAAGCATTGCGATCAGGCCCATCGTTTAAAAGGAGTGCTCCGAGACTCCATCGTGACGCTCGAAGAGGTAGGCAGCTCGGTGTCTGCTTGTACATCTCTGGTTGTAAGAGGATATTTCAAATCTTGTTATTTGAAGAAACTTCCTCCTACAGGTTCTACCCTTGCCAGTTTCTGGATTTTGCATGTTCCTTCTACTAGAGGCCCAGTGCATGAATTTGTGCACAGGTGGAGTCCTTCAGCCTGGCCAGTGATTGGGGCTGATTGGGGGCTGGCTGGCTGTGGGGAGGGACCACAGAGGTTTGCCCTGGCAGCAAGCTCCCTCCTCCCTCCAGGGTCGGGGTGCAGGTGAACCAGATTTGGGGCTGTCAGGGCCCCAGCAGCAAGGTCTTGGTCAGTGCACAGTGCACATCATTCTGGTCATTCTGGTCGTTCGGTTTAACGGTCGCTTAGGCTTTTATATAGATAGATAGATAGATAGATTGATAGATAGATAGATAGATAGATAGATAGATAGATAACCACTTGTTTTTTTGTTTTGTTTTTACAAAATGGAAGCATACTACACACACCATTGCATTTTTTCTTTTTTTAATTGGTAATACATTTTGAAGATGTTTCCCTATCATCAAATATATATATATATATATATATATATATATATATATATATATACTGACCTGATTCTTTTTATTAATCCTTCTATATGAAATTTTATGTGCTTAATATTAACTCTTGGTTAATAGATACTATAAACACTCATTATTTTGTTTTTGTCTATTGACCATATACCTTGGAGATACTTTCTTACCAGTATATAAAGCACTTACTCTACTTTTAACAGCTGCATAGAATTTGACTATATAAATGTGCCCTATTTTACCAGTTTTCCATTGAAGAATGAATATTTACTATATTTCAAAGTTTTGCTGTAAACATTATCTCTTGAACACAGTATTATTAATATATGCCACTTAGTTCCATGAACCAAAATTTAGGATTCCCTTTGAAAAATAAAGATGAATATTTCCATCTACAGTAATAAAAGAGAAAAAGCTAACTGACCTTGACCGTACCTTCGCTAGGCCCACAGCCAATCAGAGTATGCAAATTTACCCAACAAAGATGGTGATTAATTTGCATATGCTGAGGGTGGGAGGAGTGAAGACTGAAGAAAAAAGAAGAGGGAGGAAAAGCGGAAAGTAAGGTGGCTGCCAGAGAGAAAGCGCGGGCGAGGTGGGGCAGGTGGGGTGGGCAGCGTGGTGGCTGGAGAGGCCATTTGCAGGAATCTTCCTGCAACGGGCTTCTAGTTATAATATATGTATATGCTTACTTTTCAAAATTGAAAAATAGAAAATAGAAGAAAACCCAAGTTCTAGCATTCAGACTTAATTACTTTTAACATTTTATTACCTTTCATCTTTTTCTTTTATGTATAAGTTTGTTTTTTTAGGAGTTTCAACTATTGAGCATTTCTTAGGATATCACTCAGGGCACTGAAGAATACAACTGCAATGAAGTACTCTTCAGATGCACAGTATCTATAGCTCCTTAGCAACTTTCTCCTCCCACTCTCAGCAGGGAGTAGATCATATTCTCACTTTTCTCCTCCTCATCTCTTCCCATCTCCCCCTCACTCTCAACTGATGACTATGCGTTAAAGGAAAAAGAGACTTTCCCTCTCTTTCGGTAACCCAGTCTACAGACCCTCCTATTGCTGCACCCCTGTCTTCTCCCTTCCTATTATATTCATTCCTCAGCCTATGGGAGGCAAGTCCCAGCATGTTAGCAGGAGACTCTCCCTTATAGCTTCCCCATTTTCAGTCTCCCTCACCCAATGGGGTTTTTACCATCAGCACATGGCTGTGCTCTGTTATCTCCTACATTAAAATACCTACACCATGCATATCCTTCCCTATCTACTCATCTCTCTGCTCCCTTTCACAGCTGAACTCTTTTAGAGTTGTCTGCTCTGCCTGTCACTACTTTATCCTTCATAATTCATTCACTTTTTAAAGTTTTCATTTTCTCCCAAATAAGCAGTTCACATATTTTAAAGAGTTAACTTGTTCTACATGGTTTGTTGAGAAAATAAGCAATCCCAGCACCCTCATCCCTATTTCTTTCCTAAAGACAACAGTCTTAACCTTCAGTTTATAGTGTTGGTGTGTACCTCCACATTTATAAACAACATGTATTGATAAAGTCTTGATTTTTCAGTTTTAGACATTCTTTTTTTTTTTTAAATATATTTTATTGATTTTGTACAGAGAGGAAGAGAGAAGGATAGAGAGTTAGAAACATCGATGAGAAAAAGTCATCCATCAGCTGCCTCTTGCACACCCCCTACTGGGGATATGCCCGCAACCAAGGTACATGCCCTTGACCGGAATCAAACCCGGGACCTTTCAGTCCCCAAGCTGATGCTCTATCCATTGAGCCAAACCGGTTTCGGCCATAGACATTCTTATTAGGAAAGTCAAAAATAAGGATTTTGTTTTCTTTTCTTTCACTTCATCTTGTCCCCATTTCTAATTACCCCATTCTCCCAAATGAAGTTATAATTTTGGTTAAATCAATATTTATTTACAATTTTGCTATTCTGAGCTACATCATAGAATAAACCATGATTACTTTTTATTTTCTGTGCTTTTTCTTATCCCTGAATTTCATTATGGTTGATTAGTTTATCAAAATTATTTACGAATATTTCATCCCCTGTCATATGAATCTGTTAGAATCTTCCTTCGCCTCAGGCGTTCCATCAGTGGAGCCTCTGGCTGGCTCCAGTCAGGTCGGTGGCCCTCTGTGGAGTACACAGCTATCATCCAGGGGATTCCTGCTGCCCATCTCTCTTTCCTGTAGCCCATGTTTCCTGCTTTCTTGATTTATGTTCTCTTTTTAATGAAGCATATCCTTTAGAGGCCGCCTAAGAAAGAGTATAGAGGTAAATATTTTAAGATTTCACCTGTCTGAAATGTTTTTATTCTGTCCTTTGACTATAGTTTGGCTGGGGTAGGATTCTAACTTGGAAATAATGTTTTCTCAGAAGGTTTCAGTCATTGCACCATTGTCTTTTGGCTTCCAGTGTTACTATTGAGAATTCTGGAGGATGTTATCATTCCTAATCCTTTAATGTGGAAAATCCTGCCCTTTAGTTCTGGGAAGTATTAAGTTAGATAGTTGATAGTTTTCTTCATTCCACTTTCTACAGCTCCTAAAACTCAGATGCTGGCTTTCAATTAATTGGACAGGTTGTCTAATCTTTGTAAGCTTTTTCTCTTCCAGCTTTCATCTCTGCTTTTTTAAAACACTGCTTCCTCCGTGATTTACTCAATCTTCAAATTCTTGTATTGAGTTTTTCAATTTTTGCTAACAAGTTTTTAATTTCAAAGAGCTATTGTTCCTCTGAAAAATTTTAAGGCATTGTGTTAGCTATAACATAGCTATATGTTTATCTCTCTGACCATACTTAAAATAGCTATATGTTTATCTCTCTGACCATATTTCTAATAAACAATTTTTTTATTCTTCTTGCATACTCACTTTCCATCATAATCCGTTTTCTTCTGTTTTGATTTCCATCCTTAGTGTTAGAGAATTTCTTTAGATGTTGATAGTTCTTGGTTGTCTGCTTGTGTGGATCAGAAGCTTTCAACATGTGCGTTATATTGGTCTACCCTGAACTTTTCTGTACATTTGGCTGGTTGAGAAATCCCGGTCTCAGTATTTTTAGGTGTTTCCTCTTGGATTGGTCAGTTTCCACAGAGAATAATCTTCTAGTCTCCTATCTGAAGGATTTGAGGGCTGGCTGCCAGCATTTTAGGAACAGAGTGAGAGGGGAATGGGGAGGTCAGGGCAGAGGAGATGGTTTCAATATTCAGTATACACTTTTTCCCTATAATCCTCCTGCTTTCGGTATGGTAGCACTGACTTTAACGATGTCTTGGTGTCCCCTGAGCAAGACACCCAGAGAACCTCTGTTTTATCCTGTCCAGAAAATAACATTTTAGACTTTTGCCCAGGTAGTAAGAGAGGTCAGATGCCCAAAGGTTCATCCAATCCTTATTTTAGCCCTTTCCTCTGAATTCCCACTTCCAGAGATTCCTGGCCATCAGGCTTTTGAGGATTCTTCAGGGTAAATTTGGTTGGTCTCAGCTTTCTCTAGTGTTAGCTTAGGATTCAGCCTTTTCAGGCCTGTGAAGTCATCCATCTGTTTTCTAGGTTCCCAAGTTGTGTTGCTGTTGTCACTTTCTGTTCTCCCAGGCCTTGGTTTATGTCTTTTAAAAGCAACAACAAATCCTGCCCTGGCCCTTGTAGCTCATTTGGTTGGAGCATCCTCTAGTACACTAAAAGATTGCAAGTTCAATCCCCAGTCGGGGCACATATGGGAGCAACCACTTGATGTTTCTCACATCAATCTCAGTCTGTCTATTGCTCTCTTCCCCACTCCAAAATTAATAATAATTAAAAGGAAAACATATTCTTTCTAGTGGGGTTTCAGAAGGGAGCAAAACTGGATGCATGTATGTAACCCACTTCCTCGTTGTTCAGCTCACTCCTGCCTTATTTTCCTCTCCTCTACCTTCCACCAATATTGCTTGAGTTGAGATCCCTAGTGACCTCTAGCTTTTAGCCTAAATGTACCTTTCTTTTAGTTTCCATTTACAGTGTCAACATTTTGAGAGCTGACCACTCTTTTCTTTTCTCCAGCTTTTTTGTGAACTAATTCATGTTATGGAATTCACCCTTTCAAAGGCTTTTTAATATATTCACAAGGTTATGCAACCATCACCACTAATTCCAGAGCATTTGCATCACCCCCAAAAGGACCTATAAATGGAATCTTTGGTGACTGGCTTCTATCATTTAGCATAACAGGAAACTCCTTTTTTGCTGTAAAACTTTCTCCTGTACCTGACCTCTTTCTGGCCTAGTGCTCCTCGCTGTGTTAGATTCTCTTCCCTTCTCCGCTTCCCCTTTAGGGGATCACATCCACTCCCCTGGCTTGGAATACCACATGTGCCAGTGACTCCCAAAACCATCTCTGACCTGATCTCTCCTCTGAGCTCCACGCTCAGTCCGTCACTTGCTGAGTTGGCATCTTCACCTGGATGATAACAGGCATCCCAAACTGATCATGTCCAAAACAGAATTCTGTTTTCATCCTGAGCCAAACCCACTTCTCCTCTAATTGACCTAATTTTGGAAAATTATAGTACCATCCTCCAGTTGCTTAAGTAAAAAACTTGATACAATGTGTGAGTACATTTTGTGTGTGTGATTATGTGTTTTACTTCTATATTGCTTACTAATCTATAAGCTCCATGAAGGCAGAGACAGTGGCGAGAGTGGCTCTTTGGTTCACCATTGATACTCAGTGCTTAGCACAGTACATGTAATAGATAAACAGTAAATATTTGAATGAATAAATATAAAGAAAAATAAGACTTATTTCTTTCAAGTTGACTACAATTTTATTAGAGAAATCAAAGGTCTGTGTGTATTGTTAGAAACTATAAAAAAAAAAAAGTACAAAATTAAATGTCAAAGTAAGTAGTAATGCATTGGGAGAGTAGAGGCAGGATGATTAGAGAAAACTACATGGACAGGGGGATGGGTCCGTTTGGGATGGATGATGACAATTGCAAGCACAGGCCTGGAAGTGAAACCTGAGTTGTTTAGGAGAGAGTGAGACCACTGCAATTTCAGAAGCCATTTAAGGAAACAAGTCAGCCTGTTCCTCTGGATAATTTGATTGTAGACCTAATGAGAGATAGAATACACAGTATGTAGGAAGAAGTGCGATCTTAGAGCAAATGGGAAGAACTCTGTAGCAGTCACACTGACATAGATATCCTAAGGAAATCAGGTGTTTATTCAATGTTTTATTTGGACATTAGTATAAACAGAACTATGTCAAATGCAAATGTGAACTTTGGCATAAAAATGACCAGAAAAATGTAAACAATTTATTTTGAAAATTATTTTGTTTGCAGTTAAAGAGTTCACTCATTATGCTTCAGAGAACCTTTGATCTACTAAATAAAAACAAGACCGGCACGGCTGTGGAGAGCTAGTGATCTGAAGGACTGAAATTGGACAGATACTTGGGAGTAAAAGAAAACATCTAGGAGAAAACCAGAGGATGAAGGATTTTCATTGTCATACGAACATTTCCATATTTTTTTTTCAATATTGGTACTTCTAATATGAACATTCTTTTAAATAACATTTATTTCATAATTAGTCTCCGATGGCCTTAAGAATCTATCCGTTTGCTTCTTATACATTATTCTAAGCTGTGAATTTCTCCAGTGAAGCATGAACTGCATTGTGGAATTGAATTTCTGTGATGCAAAAAGAAAATGGGACACTTTGGCCTCGTTTTTAGAGGGAGGTTTGAAGTTTGATGCTTTATCTGTTAGCGCAGAATCAGTATGTGTCCAATTGGCTGCTTTCACAGTTGATAAACATTCAACAGGCTAAAGACAATCAATATAAGAAGAAACCTCTAAGCCATTACGAATTTTGAAGGATCAGTTTTTAGGCATGTACATTTCTAGATTTGCATACTGTAAATATTACAATGTCTTCATTTATTTAGCACACAAATTCAATAGACTTTTTGATTCTGCACATTGATGATAATTATCTGAGAAGTTCTTCATTCATATTGTATCTTCATGAAAGAAAGTTTTCTTCTTTAAGTAGCTATCAGAGGTGAGATTATCTTGCTTCTTCAAATATCATATGAATCAAAGAGTCAATTTTAGAAAAGGAAATATGTAGGACTCCAACACTTAAATTGAAGAATCATGCTCTGAGTTTTAAAAACCAGATTAGGTTAAAATCTGGGCATTTAGTAATCAAATAAATACTTGAACTAAGCTTGGCTTCAGTTTAGCAGTCTAATTTGTGGATTCGTTTTCAGTAGCCACGGATAGATTCATTTATTCCTTCATGTGAGTGGCTTGTTTTAGTCAATTGTAAGACACAAACTAGCTCTTTAATAAAACTCTGGGTTCATTATCTCCCAATACAAGTATACTGATTGAAGTTGTAAGTCAGACACAAGTTTTGGCTCTTTTGTACAAAGGTTTTAGGCATATGTGTCTCAATACAAGTGATGTCTCCAGAGCAAGAGCAAGATAGTGCAGAATAATGTGTATATATTTGTACTGTTTCAACAACTATTGCCTTTAAATTTCTTTTTTCCTCCCAGAGTCACCACAGCCACACGAGATTGCTAAAGTTGTCTTTGAGATGCCTGTAGAGAATCAAAGTATTGACTCCATTAGAGGGGAAATAGGTTTGAGTGAATCCCAACTCAGCTACGTCAGGGAACCAGTGTACCTACCTGGGTTTCTTTGTTTTTAAAATAAGGATTTATGAAGGGTCTGGCTGTAAGCAAGAGTGACTGGATTATAAACTTGAAACCTTGTTCTCTTAAATTCACGAAAATAATCAGTGTTAAGCTGAATATTTTTGAGATGTTTCTGAAAAACTTGTACTTCACTACATACCTCAAATAAAATGAACAAAGTTGCTTTTTAAATTACGACTAAAACACGCATGTATGCAAAATTCAATCAATTGTATTTGAGTGTTATGTAAATTATATCAATAAAACCCAGAATCTGAGTTGTCACTTTTCTTCCTTTTCTGTTTGAAAAACAACAAAAACAAACACACACTCACACACACACACACACACACACACACACACACACACACACAAAACAAAACTCAAAACTCAAAAAGTATAGTCTGCTGTTGTGAAAACATGTGCATGGGCCTACACTCTTTAAAAAATGGTGTGTAAAAACCAAAGAGGACGCCTTACATCAATTTCATTTCAAATATGCATACTGTTGGAACAAAAACACTAGCTAGGCCTGCGGGTCTAATGAAGACTGCTCACTACCAAAACCGGTGTGGCTCAGCGGATGGAGCAAAGGCCTGCCGACCGAAGGGTCCCAGGTTCAATTCCAGTCAAGGATCTGTACTTTGGTTACGGGCACATCCCCAGTGTGGGGTGTGCAGGAGGCAGCTGGTGGATGTTTCTAACTCTATTCCTCTCCCTTCCTCTCTGTAAAAAAAAAAAAAAAAAAAAAAAAAAAAAATCAATAAAAATATATTTTTTTTAAAAAAGAAAGAAAAAGACTGCTCACTAGAAAAAATAAGGAACAAGTCGGGTGATGACCGGCCCGGGCAGTGAGGGCCTTAGGGGGAGGCTGGCCCATTGGAAGCACCTAGGTCCCCAGGGCGGCGAGCTCCCCCGCGCCTGTTGCGGGCGGGCAGGCGGCGGAGTGAGCGCCGGCGGCCCGGGCTTCCCGTGCTTTGGAGATCCTCGGGGTTCTCGGGTTTCCCCCATTTCCGCGCGCCCCTCCCCGGCCGCGCTCAGAGGCCGCCCCGCCCGCGCGCCCGCACCGGCGGGGTCGGGCCGGGTCTCCGCGGGGCGGGGGCGGGGCGGGGGGCGGGCCAGTCCGGCTCCCGGACCCGGGCTGAGGGCGGGGCCCCGCTGCGGCTCCGCGGGGCGGGGGCGGGGACCCCGGCGCCGGGGGCGGGGACCAGGAAGCGCGCGGACCTGCCGCCAGCCGGGCGGCCGCGGGGCGGGGGGGCGCACCGGGGGCGGCGGCGGGCACAGGTGGGCGGCGGCGGCCGCGGGGCCCGGGGACCGGCTCTCACCCGGGAGCCCCGCGGGGCTGAGGCCAGGCTCGCGTCCGCGCCGCCGGAGGAGCCGCCCCGCTCCCTCCGCCCCGGCTCCCGGGGCTGCAGCCGCGCCTCCGCCCGGAGCGCAGGTAACTTCCCTCCAAGGTCATCCTCCCGCCCGCGGCGCTCCGGCCGCCACGTCCTCGCCGGTGGGGGCGGCGGGGGAGCCCGGCGCGGGTCCGGGGGCGCGGGTCCGGGGGCGCGGGCCGGGGGCGCGGGGTGGGCGGCGACCCCATTGTTCCCCGAGCTGCTGAGGGGCTTCCCGGGAGCCGGGTCGCGAGCCCCTGCGGCCGGGCATGTTTGCCGGCCCGGCGGGTGCAGCCCGCGCCACCGCCTGCAGCCCCGAGGGTGAGTTTCCATCGGCGCCCGGGTCCCGGCCGTCCCGGGCGGCGTGGTCCGCTGTCGCCATGGGAACGGCTGGTCCCGGGAGCCTGGGATGGGACGGGACAGGACGGGAAGGTGAAAGCGGCTCAAAGCCTAGCGCCTTAGTGCTCTCTGCCTGGCCAGCCCGGGTCAGAAAAGCCCGATGAAAATGGGACCCTCTTTCCCCTCTTCTCATGTTTGTTTTCTCAGGCGTTGGCGTGTGATCCGAGAGCGGCGTGAATGTGTTTGGAAGATGTGAGTTGTGTACTTTCCTCCTTCACCTTCCAAGAGGGCTCGTGGTGACAGGTGGCCGTCATGGCACAGAAGGGCAGTTTGAAGTCAGGGAAGAAAAACAAGGCGGGAGAACCCGAACTGGAGCCCCTGTGCTGCTGCGAGTACATAGATCGGAATGGGGAGAAGAACCACGTGGCCGCCTTCTTGTGTGATTGCCAAGACCTGGATGAAGGGTGTGAGAGGTAAGAGCAGGGTGTGTCTTGTCGCTGAGCCCCCCCACCGACCCTTTTGAGAACTGCGATGTATACTTTCAGTTTAGCCACCGAGGACACTGGGATCGGCTCTGATTCTCTTTCCAAGGATCATAGTGAGTAGTCTTCTATGTCAAGGGTAAGGATTTTATAAAGATGAATTACTCAAGTCGTGCACAACTGTCTGTTCAGCTCAGTTTACTAAGACCTTATTTTTCACTTAAAGGGAGAAGATGAGAGGACAGGCAGATAAAGGGATAGAAGGCAAATTAAATGTGTAAAAAAAAAAAAATAAATAAAGTGCAGCCCAGCAGAATCTGTAATTTTAAGAAGGAGCACTGTGCCAGAAAGTTCTCAGTGGACTAGGTGGGACCTGGGGCAAAGGGCCTTGAGGGCCGACAGATCATTTTCCTGCAGCTGGACCTGGTCTCACCCCTTGTTACTGGGAGGAGGTCCAGCTAGGACACGCATCCCTCTCCTGCACTGGCTGTTTTCAACAGGAGCGCAGCGCTGTTCGGTTCCATTGTATTGTATTTGGCTTTTATTTTCACCGTTAATCCAAGTGATGAAAATTACTACCCAGGAAAATGATTTTTCACATCACTGAAAGAATTTTGTATCAAACATTAATAACTTGGCTTCCCCCCCTCCCCCTTTTTCTAAGTAATATATTTAAACATGGTTGCCATATGGAAAGCATAATGTGGGAAGAAGGAGAATGTTGGAAACTTGCTTTTCCTATTAATAATAACTCCTTCTGCTTAAAAAGTCATTGCAGTGGCAGATTGCTGATTTAAAACTCTGTGCATTAATCTAGCATGACAGGCATACTTTGGGACCACTGTGGTCTAGGACCAGCCTTGACACCTGAATACCTCATATTTCTTACTAGACAGTGTCTGTAACCTTTTTTTAAAGTCCTTCTCGTTTCTTTAGACTTAGTTTAAAAGCCCCTGAGAAAATGGAGCACTTTGTGCTAACGAATGGAGAAATGCTGCTTCCATAATCTCCATCATTGAAGATGGCAGCTCTTCCGTTAACTATTCTCCCTCCCGGCCTGGAGAACTGGGCTGTGCCTGAATTCTCTGCTCTCTCCATATACTGCTCTGGAGATTGGCTCCACTACTCTGTATGACTCCCTCCCATAGAGTTACCCCGCTTCCGAGTTCTAGCCCTACTTTTCTTTCTTTTTTTTAATATATATTTTATTGATTTTTTACAGAGAGGAAGGGAGAGGGATAGAGAGTTAGAAACAACGATAAGACAGAATCGTTGATCAGCTGCCTCCTGCACACCCCCTACTGAGAATGTGCCCACAACCAAGGAACATGCCCTTGACCGGAATCAAACCTGGGACCCTTGAGTCTGCAGGCCGATACTCTGTCCACTGAGCCAAACTGGTTTCGGCAAGCCCTACTTTTTCTTAATAGTATAAAATCAGTGTGATCATTCCTTAAACTGTTCCTTGCCTTACTAGCTTAAGCATGCAAAAAAAAAGTCAACTGTATGCCATGTGTCCTCCAAGCATGGGTCATTTGACTCCCACTAGTTTGATTTCCATTCTCCCCCATGCAGACCCCTCCTCCTGCGGGACAGGCCCCTCCCTGGGCCCAGGACAGTGTGTACCTTACACCGGGAACCTTCCCACCCTCCCTCCTCTCGTGTACAACTGCTAGCCAGCCGTCAAGGCCGATCGCAGATCCCGCCTTTTGCACAAAGACCCCTCTAAGAATCCACTCAGACGTGTTCGCTCTCCTGTGAGCACTCCTTTTGATGTTTGGCCATCTCATATTATAGTTCACTGGGTGATTTTGCTGCTTTGTCACTTACCTAATAATTCTTGAGTTCCCATGTTATATTGTCTTTGCAACGACCTTGTGAATTTGTTTGAGACTTTGATGTCTCTATACCCACCCAAGTCTAGACAGTATGTGTATAGAATGTGCATATTTATATGTATTTGTTTCAGGAAGAAGTCGTTTAAACTGTTTAGACGTTATTTTCTGGTTTATATTAAAAAATGATACATGATTTTGAAAATAGCTTGTGCAGTAGTCAGGCAGTAGAATACTTGGCCTTTGGCCTCCTTTGTCATTTATCCTGCTGCTTGACCTGCAGAGTTCACTGGTTTTTAATTCCACAAACCCCTAGGAAGTGCCTTCTCTTTGTGCTCTTTCTGAATTAGATGGATTACGTGTAAATCTGTGCAGCCAGAGACCTGTGAAAGAATCATGGATACCATCTCTGATCGCCTCCGGATTCCATGGCTTCGCGGAGCCAGAAAAGTTAACATTAGCATCATCCCCCCTCTTGTCCTCCTGCCCGTCTTCCTCCGAGTGGCCTCCTGGCACTTCCTCCTGGGGGTAGTGGTTCTGACCTCGCTGCCCGTGCTGGCCCTGTGGTACTACTACCTCACTCACCGGAGGAAAGAGCGCACTCTCTTCTTCCTGAGCCTCGGGCTGTTCTCTCTGGGCTACATGTACTATGTGTTCCTCCGGGAAGTGGTCCCCAAAGGGCGTGTGGGGCCCGCCCGGCTGGCTCTTCTTACCTGCGGGCTGTTTCTGATCCTCTTAGCCTTGTACAGAGCCAAGAAGAACCCAGGCTACCTCAGAAACCCAGCCAGCGAAGACACGCCTCCGGGCAGCCACCGAACCGAGGGCCCGGACAGAACAGGGCCGAAGACCAAAGGGTTCCCCCTCAGCGGGGAGGTGTGGGGCGCCCTCAGCAGCCGCCCCCTGAGGGATGACCAGAAGGGCTCTTCCAGGCTGTTGGCTGGAAGCCCCGTGAAGGCGAAGGAAGACTGGTGTGCCCAGTGCCAGCTCGTGCGACCTGCCCGGGCCTGGCATTGCCGGATATGTGGCATCTGTGTGAGGAGGATGGATCACCATTGCGTCTGGTATGTGGGGGAAAGTTGGAGTCGCGCCACGTGTAAATTCACGTGGGACTCTAGTGGTGTTTGACCGTCCTTTGTATCATCCTAAAACCTCTCTCCTTCCCAGCTTTACATCTTGTAGATATTTGTGGGCTGTTAGGATGTTCCCACTTAGTCATCAGTTTTTCCCTAGTTTCACAAATTTAGTTCTTTCACAGTCATTTCCTGCAGGTGTTTTTTTTTTTCTTCTTTTTTGCCATTCTCTTTTGAGCTGCCCCTCATTTATCTTCTTTCTAAAAGAGAAGCATCTACAGTTGATTGATTTTTTTTTTTAAAAAAAGGATTTATCAAAATCAGTGTAGTCTTATTTTCTCTTGAACACAGAGTTCAAGCAAGTGTTCGCATATTTTCAGGTGACTTTTTTCTCCTCTCGTCATACATCCTTAATCATTCTGATGCTACTGGTCTACATTATTGAGGTGAGGTCTTGCCAGATAACTCCGTTAGGTTATTGGCGGGGAGATGGGCTTTTTTGGGTACCTACCCACTGGCCACTGACAAATGAGGACACATGAGGCCTATAAGATAAGATGCAAAGGAAAACTCTTAAAAGTTAGCATTGCAGCGCTACTGAGTAAATCTTAAACCAAAGGGGGTGTAATTAATTCAAATGTGACTGCCATAAGTAACATGTTTGCAACTTTATTGCTCTTACGGCGTTCCCGGTCAATGAATTCAGCTTTTTATGACTAGGATTCTGGTTACCTGGCACACCTCCTTCAGAAGGGGATGGCCCAGAGTGAGGTGCAGGGAGGCCAGAGGGCATTGAATGGACTTCAAGTATAGGGACAGCGCTTTGCTGGGGCGTTGTCTTTAGGTGTAAATAGGTGCTTTCAATTTTAGATTTCCCACTTCTCTTTGTCGTTTCTCTCTCTCTGGCCCATTTACGAGTTCTGGTTTGCAGCAGGCCTGACAGTCTCTTGCCCAAAAGAAGATTTCTACCTACTGGGGCATCCTGGTGTCCCTGTACATTCTGTCCTACATGTTCTACAAACGGCTGTGACATGGACTCTCTTTATCTGAGAAGTAGTCTCCATTCCACACCAATCAGATCTTTTTAATAATGTATTTTTAACATATAATTTCTGATGCTGTGTAACACATCTTGATTATTTTTTTTTTTTAAAAAGAAGGGAGAGAGAAAAACATTGATTTGTTGTTCCACCTATTTATGCATTCATTGATTGACTCTTGTTTGTGCTCTGACAGGATTGAACACATTAGGGACGATGCTCCAACCTACAGAGCTACCCGGCTGGGGCCTATGTAACACTTCTGATTTAGCTTTTTTATTTTTTAAAATATATTTTATTGATTTTTTTTTTTTTTTTTTTTTTTTACAGAGAGGAAGGGAGAGGGATAGAGAGCTAAAAACATTGACCAGCTGCCTCCTGCACACCCCCTTCTGGGGATGTGCCGGCAACCAATGTACATGCCCTTGGCCGGAATCGAACCTGGGACCTTTCAGTCCGCGACGCTTTAGCCACTGAGCCAAACTGGTTTCGGCCTGATTTAGCTTTTTTAAGTTTGCTATCATCCTTTCCGAATCATGGTAATTATAGTATTAACTCTCTTCATAGTTGGGTAAAGCCTTCGCTTACTAATATGTAGAAAGATTAATTAGCCGGTTCTGCTTCTTACTTAGTCTTGTACTTCCATGAAGGATAGGATTTCAGTTTGTGAAGAGCAGAGACTATAAGACTGCATCTTTCAGTGGACAAGCTTTTAATTCTCTAAAAGTGAAAAGTAAGATAGCTTTTTAATAACTGGCATTCACACTATTCCTGTTTTTAAAACTTTTTTATTATCTGAGTTATATAGAGAACTTTTAAAAACATATTTGCTTTCCCCTCTGTGCTGTTTTGAGGATAAATGGCTGTGTTGGAGAATGCAATCATCAAGCATTTATACTTGCCCTTTCGATCTTCTTGCTCACCTCGGTGTATGGGATCACACTGACCTTGGACACCATTTGTAGAGATAGAAGTGTCTTCACAGCTCTCTTCTACTGTCCTGGCGTTTATGCAGAATACAGGTGAGACATGGACACCCCACACCGAGGCCCTGGAGGAGGGGAGGGGTGTTGCCGTTCACTGTAAGGGGCTATCATTTGATAGTAGGTCAGGGACCAGTGATGGGGCTTTTGAGTACCCCTGAAATTGCCAACAAAATTGTGTAGTGGATAGGTGCAGTTTTCTAGGGTGAAGTTGAAAGGATCATTGGCCCTTCAAAAAGAAGGAACTAGTACTGCAGAAGTAGGCTCAACCAGCTCAATCAGGGACTTCCAGGGTCAGGTGACTACTCACACGCCCATCCAAGTAACAGTGAATCTTGAACAAACAAACTAGCAGCCCCAGGGTGTGTGTGTGGGCCATTTTGTCATAATCAGCGAACTCTTCATTTCACTGCTATTTCCTGGTACTTGTTGGCCCAAAATTAATTTACTGCTTCTGACCCTTTTTGTGAAGTATTTACAATTTGTATGACCTTCCTTTTCTATTTAACCTCTATTGCTTGTTCCTGTTCTACTTTTTTTAAAAAAAATTTCCACTCATGGTTACTGTGGTATCTAGGTCAAAATTTCCTTCAGCTTTGTTCGTTTGGGCACACTTCTAGAAGATTTTCATGCTTCGGAAGGAGCTGGGATTGTTCAGTGATAGCCTGAGCCACTCCCTCCCCTGAAAGCCCTCTAGCCTGTTCTTTGTTTTCAGAACCATCAATCCCTACTTCATCTGCATAGTGTCTCTGTGCAGGTATTTGTTTGTATTAGTCTCTGTGCAGGTATTTGTTTGTATTAGTCCCCGGACAGATCTCCCCAATGCCATTTCAGATCTAGACTTTTATGGGCTTTATTAGAATAGATTGGTCCTCTTCCGCAGGGATAAGTTCCTTTTCTTTTTCTATGTTGAGTCTTTGTAGGTTGTGAACTTCTTCAGTAACTACTATTCTTTTTTAAAAAAATATATATTTTATTGATTTTTTTAGAGAGAGAAAGGGAGAGGGATAAAGAGTTAGAAACATCGATGAGAGAGAAACTCCGATTAGCTGCCTCCTGCACACCCCACATTGGGGATGTGCCCGAAACCAAGGTACATGCCCTTGACCGGAATCGAACCCGGACCTTTCAGTCCGCATGCGTAAGTACTATTCTTAATGGGTTGTGTCAAATGTCCTAAAGCAGAGCATGTGTATTACAAAGCATGTATGTTACAAAGCATGAGTTCTATAGACGTTCTGTGGGCCACTTACACAAAATAGCCCTGCCATTGGTCCTCCCTGCTCTGGACGGCCATTCATATCTTCCAGTTGGGCCTCAGCTTTTCTCATCTTTGTGGTGATTTAATCATCTCTCAGGTCCTTTTGGCTTGGATTCTGAATGAATTTATTTCCATGTAACTCCTTTGCAAATGTTTGAATGAAAATAATCAGTTGGCAGACATGGATCAGTATCCTCTCCTCACAGTCTTGTAGGAGCTGAAGGCGCTGTCTCGCCCTGTGTTGGGCTGTAGGAAGCGGAATTTGAAATATGCTGGTGCATGTGGAAGGCTTCTGGCATCGGGCGGTGTCTCTGTATTTGCATTCAGCAGCCTCGGCCTGAAAAAGCATGGAAATTAAGGAGCTTCCCGCCCACAGCTTCCCTGAAGATGTTCTTAGCCATCTTGTGGAGCCTTCGTTTTTTTCCTGAATTAAGAACAAGTTAGGAATTATTCATTTCAACAAACAGATTTTGAATCCTGTTATGTCAGGCACTGTGTGTTGTATGGGGAGTACAAAGTGCAGGAAACAGTGTTTGCTAGTCTCAGTAAAAAATACTGGAAAAAGAGGCACTCGTAATTAAAAACTAAAACAGCACATGTTCGTTAATGGTCATAATTTAAGCAGGTTATCGGTATTTTTTAAAAAAATATATTTTATTGATTTTTTACAGAGAGGAAGAGAGAGGAATAGAGTTAGAAACATCGATGAGAGAGAAAATCGACCAGCTGCCTCCTGCACACCCCCTACTGGGGATGTGCCCACAACCAAGGTACATGCCCTTGACCGGAATCGAACCTGGGACCTTTCAGTCTGCAGGCCAACACTCTATCCACTGAGCCAAACCAGTTTTGGCAGGTTATCGGTGTTTTGAGGATAGAAGACTGTTGTCCAGCGGGATGATTGGGGAAGGTGCCAGAGTCCCTCGGTCATAAGTATCACATGTATAAAAGCTTTCTGAATGTGAAAAACCGGCAGCCCTGACCCGCCCGTTCCCCTTCCCAGCTCGGCACTGACCTTCACCTGCGTGTGGTACTCCGCCATCATCACCGCGGGCATGGGCTACATCTTCCTGATTCAGCTGATCAACATCAGCTACAACGTGACCGAGAGGGAGGTGCAGCAGGCCCTGCGGCAGAAGACGGGGCGCCGGCTCCTCTGGGGGCTCATCGTGGACACAGGCCAGTACAACCGGGGCTTCCTGCGCAACTGGCACCAGTTCTCCACCCTGGGCACCGCCCCATTCCCGCACCCCGCCGAGGACATCGTCTGAGTGCCTTCTGTGCCCTCAAGGTGGGGGCGGGGGCAGGGATCCCCCTTCAGTGAGCACTTGGGATGCTCGCTTTTATCCCTGGTTTCTTAAAGGCATTATAGGGTCACGCTCAGGTTGAGACTGGACTGGAGGAAGGAATCTTGCTGACTTCGCAGCTTAAGAGATTTTTATATCGAAGCAGTAAAAGCAGAGCCATTCCTTTCCAGGCGCCTTGCGAACTCACTCACTCACTCACCAGAAGCTGAAAAGGATGTGGATTGCTGATGCACAAATTGATCAAAGCAATTCCGTCCCTCAGTGTGGGAGGAAGAGTCTTGGATTAAGATAGTTTCTACTCCTTTTAATTCCTAATAGCCATGTGACCCTTCTTTGAGTCACTTCCCCGAATCTCAGGTTCCTTGGTAAAGTGGGGTCCTGACGTCCCCCCAGAGCAGCTGTGAGGTCACGTGATGGATGAGATATGTGAAAAGCACCAGAAGGGTCTGAAGTATTCCTGGGGAAATCCCAGACTGAAAGAAATGTTTGTAGTTCAGAATATTGAAGCCATTATTATTAGAGTAATCTCTTTTTAGGCATTTCAGAGTGAAAAAACAATCCCCAAATACTACGCTGCACAGTTACAGGAGTTTCTCTTTCGGGAGCATTCGACAGTGACTGCTCAGGATAGCAGATGACCGGGTGGATTTTCAGTTACCTGGTCTTAAAAGGAGAGTTGATACCAGTCATGAAGCTAATCATTGCTGGTGTAATGTACAGTGGTCATGAGTTTGGGTGATGCATCTTATTTCTTAGGTATTTGTTGTTTAAATTTTCTCTAAATAACTCCACCAGGCATTAATGTTTCTTCCTCTTTCCATGTCTCACGTGGTAAGGTGCTAGCCACACTGTGACGATGGCTGGAAGAGGAAAATAGGCCTTCCTACAGCAAACACTTTACCTTTCCGGGTAAGGTGGCCAGTTAATATTAAGGGCTTGATTTTTTTGTTTGTTTGTGTAAGTGATTTGAATGCAGTCAGCTCTAGCACTATGTTGCAATAATCCATCTTCCAGCATTCACGTTATTCTGGCATGGACTCTCTTTGAGTGGTTGATTGACATCTTCCCCCTTAACTTGTACATCCTTGATCACCTTTCCCTAGATAAAATTATCTCACCAAGAGAGATAAAACAGGGTATATGTGGTTTCCATGGATTACTGTTGTTCCCTAGTTCTTCCTAAAATGTCAAGTTATTTCTTTAATCATATCTCAAAACTGAAAATGTATGAAGAATTAAATATTTATGTATAATGGGTCTATTCTGCCACAGAATTAAGATGAGGCAGCTTCAGATGGGAAAGAAACCAACTGAAATATTTGGTTTTGTACCTATAATTTTTAAGTTGAATTTACTGGGGTGACACTGGTTGGTAAAATTATATAGGTTTCAGGGTACACAATTCTATAGTACATCAAATTCTACCTAATAATCCTACCTAATAATAGAGTAATATGCAAATTAACCATCACTCCACCATACCCACAAGCCATGCCCACCAACCACACCCACCAGCCAATCAGAGTGAGTATGCAAATTAACTCAGCAAAGATGTCAGTTAATTTGCATGTGAGGCAGGAGGGAGGAGTGAAGACTGAAGACAGCATAGAAGGAAGAGAGAGGGAAAGTGGAAAGCAAGTCGCTGGGCTGCTGGAGGGAAAGCACTGGCAGCGTGTGTGGGGCAGGATAGGGCGGGGTGGGGTGAGGTAGGGCGTGGCTATGGTGGGAGGCAGCAGTGGTGGCAGTGCGCCTGGCCTGGCCGAGGAGACCTTGGCGGCAGTGGCCATGGGCAAGGTGGGGAGGGCAGGATGGGCGGCGCTCTCCCGCCTGCCCTGCCTGCCGCTGCAGGAGAGGTGGCTATGGTGGGAGGAAAGCCGCAGGAAGTCTTATAGGAATATTCCTGCAACAGGTCACTAAGTGTATATTATATTGTGTGTTCACTACCCCAAGTCAAGTTTTTTTTTCCCTTAATGTGTTTTTATTGGTTTCACAGAGTTAGGGAAAGAGAGTGATAGAAACATCACTGATGAGGGGAAATCGTTGATTGGCTGCCTCTTGCATGCCCTCTACTGGGGATATAGTCCAAAACCCGGGTATGTGCTCTTACCGGGAATGGAACAGTGAACTCCTGGTTCAGAGGTCGATGCTCAACTACTGAGCCACACCAACCAAGTTAAGTTTTTTTCTTTATTTCAAAGGTAATTCATTAGTCCTTAAATTCACCTTGATTTATAACTTAACATAGGGAAGACATTGCCAGGTTGTTCAGTCTTTTTGTGCATGCTGTGTAACAAGAGGTTTATAAATGTTAAGGGGATATAGGACTAACTTCCTGCAGCTCTACCCTTTGCAGCTAGCACCACCCCTGGTCCCGCCATTGATCGAGGCTGTCCCTGAGACAGCTTGTTGTTGCTCTTCACAGAGATGGTTAACAAACGATAGGCTCCATATTCCCCTGTGATGAGCCAAACAGCAAACCCGGGGGTGTCAGCAGAGGCTGTGGTTTCTAGAGTGATGGCTTCTCCCCAGCCTAGTCAAGTATTCATTTGAAATTATCATTAAATCTGATACAACTAATTCATTTGGAATTATCATTAGATCTGATACAACTAATTCCTTCTGTGTATATTTGTGATAAGAGAGATAGTAATAATGCCGTGGACTGCACATGTAGTCAGAAATCTCTAGTTGTAGTCTCTTGAATGCCAGATGGATAGCCAACTCTGACTGTCCAGCAACCCTATATTATAAAAAGCCTGTGGTTGTGACACTCTCATGCTGTAACAACCAATCACCAGGAGGCCGTGTGTGCGTCAGGTGCACGCAGGTGGGCGGGGCTGTGTGTGCGACCAGGCATGTGTGGGTGGGTGGGAGCTTGATGCTGCATCTCTGTGGGTGCCAGTGGAGGCTTGATGCTGAGTCCCTGCGGGCGCCGGCGGGTCTGGATCTCGCACAATTTCAGGGCGCGTGCAGGTGGATGTGGCTGTGTGCTCGGCAAGGTGCATGCGGGTGGGTGGGGTATTGACTCTGGGTCTCGTGGCACTGGTGGGACTTGATGCTGTGTCCCTGCAGGTGCTGGCCCAGGCTCTGACAGGCGGGAGGAGGGAGCTGGATACCCAGACCCAGGACTTGATTCTGGGTTTTGCGGCGCTGGCAAGACTTGGTGCTGTGTCCCTTGGGCGATAAAGTTATATATTATTTTCATATACATTTTACTAATTTTCTTTCATCTCTGACACTTCTATTATAGAGAAAGGGCAAATAGTAAGATTAAAATATTTTCTCTAATTAATGTGCATAGATTTTGTGCACCGGGCCACTAGTTGATAATAACATTCATAGAAATGTTAGTATAGTCAGTAACTTTAGCCTCTTGCCATATCTTTAAAAACAATCAAAATATGACATGATGAAGATGAATCCCACCAAAAAGACCAATTATTTGGGAGAATTAGGAATAATCACCATCTTTATAACCACACTAGAGGCCTGTTGCATGAAGAGATTCGTGCAATAGGCCTTCCTTCCCTTGGCTTCCAGCATATTTTTCTTTGGCACCTGGGACCCAGGCCTTCGTTCTGTCCAGAGTCTGCAGTCTTGTCTTTGCTGCAGCACTCTGCTCCTGTAGATGCCTTCACCCCCACCTCCCCCCTGTCTGACCACTCTGTACTTGGAGGAGCTGGGCGGCCGCCATCTTTGGCTTTCTAATTTGCATACTCACTCTGATTAGTTGTGAGCATAGCGGAGATACGGTCAATTTACATGTTTGTCTATTATTAGGTAAGACTAGAGGCCTGGTGCATGGATTTGTGCACCAATGTGTCCTGTGGCAATCGGGCCAAAACTGGTAGTCCAGTGCCTCCTGTTCCTGCTTGCTCCTCCTGCTCATCCTGGTTCTGCTGCTGCTGCCGCTGCAGGCTTGTGCCCAGTCAGTTCCGAGCAGGAGGGGCTGGTGCCACCACAGTGGAGCTCACCAGCCATGAGCCCTGCATCTGGCGCCTGGCAGTCAATTGCTGTGGGAGCCTACTGACCACCAGGGCCAGCTCCTGTGTTGAGCATCTGCTCCCTAGTGGTCAGTGCACATCATTGCGACTGGTTGACCAGTCGTTCAGTCGTTTGGTTGTTTAGGCTTTTATATATATAGGCTAGAGGCCTGAATGCATGACATTTGTGCATGGAGGAGGGGTCCCTCAACCTGGCCTGTGTCCTCACAATCCGGGACCCTAACTACTTGGCTCGCTGTTCCTTACTGCCTGCCTGCTCACTCCTTAGTGCTGCCTCAGAGGCAAGAGAGGCTCCAACCGCCACCGCTGTGCTCGCCAGCTGTGAAGCCTGGCTTCTAGCTGAGCGGCACTCCCACTGTGGGAGCACACTGACCAGCAGGGGGCATCCCCTGCATTGAGCATCTGCCCCCTAGTGGTCAGTGTGTGTCATAGCGACCGTTGTTCTGTGTAAATGTTGCTGGGTATAAATATATATTTATCTCCTATATAACAAAAGAGCAATATGTAAATTAGCCATCACTCCGCAACAAAAAATGGCGGCACCCATAGCAGACGCTGGCGGCATCACCCAGGCAACAGGAGCCCAGTATCTGCTCCTTGGCCGTGGAGGAAGGGGAGGGGTCTCTGGCCAGAGGACTGGGAGTGGGACGCTGAGCTCAGCGTCTGAGCCACGGCTGTGCTGAGGGAGTGAAGGAGCCACAAGCCCAGGGTCTGAGCCCCGGCTTGCCATGTGGCGGGAGGGAAGAGGCCTGTGGAGCCATGAGCCCAGCGTCCACACCACAGCTGTGTGGCAGGAGGGAAAGGACCTCTGGGGCTGTGAGCCCAGAGTCTGAACCCCGGCCTGCCGTGCTGCAGGAAGGAAGAGGCCTGTGGGGTCGAGAGCCCAGCATCCATGTCCTGGCGGGCCATGCGGAGGGAGGGAAGAGGCCTGTGGGACCCCAAGCTTAGCGTCCCGTGGCA